TGGGTTACTATGGCCGCCCCTGGATACAGCTCTTACCAAGCTGTCTGCATTCTTCAGACCTTTGCAGGAAGGGGGCATAAGTACATGCAGTCAAAATGGCCACGTCTCTAATCGATTAGCTTTGGGGATAAAGCTAAATGAAACAGTCATTGATGAGATTTCTAATTATTCTTTCCTAATTTTGGCAAAAAGTCCAAAAGGAGTAACAACAGATTAATTTTCTCTTTTGAATTCAGTATCCCTGTAGGGCATTGCATTTGCATACACAAGTAAGGCTTTAGTGTAATATATAGGATGTGGGGAGCTTTTCTTCCGAAGACTGATGAGTCCATAACCCCAAGGAGTAAACCATATTATAGACTGTTAATTTACAGGAAGTTTATTCACTGATCAGCTAATCAGAAACCATTCAGGCAAGAATTACTCACAAAAGTTATGGAGTTTATTCCTCATTTTTTAATGAAAATTGCATCGTTTTCCATTTTACATAGAATAGGAAGCCTCAAAGAAAGGCAAATTGAAAATCATAACTAATGGACACTGTATAGCTGTTTAATGTTTTGTTTGTATATTCATCTGGCAGTTTTAGAGAGTCATCTCAGCTCTATAAATTCTGTATTCGTTGTATTTGATCCTGTTGGATTGCCAACTATCTGTGTTACTGATCCAAATTATCTCTGGGTAGGGACAATAGCAGATAGTGCCCTGAGTGACCTCCATTTGAGATTATTTGAAAGGACCATCAATTCAGAATGATCCTCCACCTACTTACATCATTTCAGGCCCCAGGAAGAGTTAGCAGATCTCCCATGGGGCTCAGACATGGCTAGCATGGAGCCCTTGGTGATGTGGCTCCTTCCTCTGGCCCTGCTACCCATTATTCCCAAGCAACAGAACGAGGTCAGTAAATAATCCCCCTTAAATGCTTTGAGTACAGTAGAGCCAGGGTGTATTGCCTCTGCGAATAAACCATTGAAACCCTGTAATGAAAATAAAATTCCACATTTTCCAAAGGACCCAGTGAGTCAATTCTTCTTTAAGAGTTTCCTATTTTCACTTGCTGAAATCAGCTATTTATATGATTAAGTTTTATTTTCAAATAATAATGGCCTTACTAGAATATTGAAAATTGGATCTAAGTAAAAGTTGAAGCATACATATTAAGTAATATTCTTGTTTGTAGTGGGGGAGCTAGACACTGGAGCAAACGGATGGATGTGAATCGAGAATGACACAGGGCTGGGAATTCTGCCCCAGGCTTCATTGGACCAAACCTTTGGCAGCTGCCCAGATCGTGTTAGCTGCCTTTTTGTGTATACATTTCCATACACCATTTCATCATTTTGGCTTAAAATGTAGACATTATAACAAAGTTGGAAATATTTAAATGGCCCTCCCCTTCAGGACTGTCTAGTGGTGCTAATAATTTTTTAACATAAGCTGTTATTTTGTCTTTAACATATTTTTCTAGAATATTATTGATGTTTGTAAAACAAGCCAGATAAAGAACAGCACAGCAGCCTTTAAAATACCCATTTTAAATCCCCCACTCTATAGATGAGAGTAATTCTGAACTGAAGATCTAGAATACTTGGTTTATGCTAGCAGCCTACTCAGGGTACCCTGACTTCCAAATCAAGAGAGCAGACCTCTCCGTGAACTCATTTCCTCTCTCACAGTAACAAATGTCCATGGTCCATGCAGGAATTTTAGCTTTATGAATGCATCATTTCAGCCATAGACTCAGAATTTAGAACAAAGAGGAACTAATAGCTAGGTGTGGTGGTAGGTGCTTGCAGTCCAGACATTTGGGGAATAGAAATCACAAGTTCAAGGTCAGTCTGATCTTCAAGGTGAATTCCTTATCTGTCTAGGCTAGGTCATATCTTTTAACAGTGCTAAGTGAAACAACATTAGGAAGTGTTCTGTTCCTCTCTCTGAATAACAGAAATCTGGGTTTGACTCAATATGTGGTGTGCCAGAATGGAAGCAAGTGTCTCAGGGTTACATGGGTCACTGCCACATGTTGTCAGCTCCATCCTCTCCAGACCAATCTGCTAGTCTCCGCAGACTTGTCTATGAGATCTAGGTTGAGTTGTGCCCTCTCCGACTTCTTTAGCCCACTTCCCAGGTGTAAAGATCCCGCACAGTTATCCGTCTTGTAAGTAATTTTCCTGAAATACATGAATTCTGGGTGCTGAAAGATAATCAAAAGCATTCTTTCGCGTACACACCTATCCTAAAGCCAGCTGCCTTTCTCTTAGCGTGATGCACGCTTTTCATTTCTTACTCCTTATTCAGCAGAGAAAGGAAAGAACGTGATTTTCCTTATTCCGTGAACACCAGAGAAAGGATCAGTGGATCGCCAGTTTTCTCTTAATACATCACGTAAATTACTAGAAATAAATGTATGGATACTAAATAAATTTGAGTTTTGTTTAAGTGCACTCAGATTGTTTCATTGGCACTTCTGAGTATGCACATGTTCTAATCTCCTCTGCTGAAAAGAACCAGTTCCTGAGATTCTGGGAGGCAGGCTGAACTTAATGCTACATCCTGTTTTCTTCCTTCTCTGGAATGAAGCTGTCAGTTTGTCTTATCCTGATATGGACTTATTAGTTTTTAATACTTTTCCACAACCAAGGACATTGGAGTTTTGCTTAATGGACTTCGTTTAGCAATGAAATGTGTAGAATAAATCTGTTGATACGTCATGACAGCAAGTGACCAGTGGCTCCATGCACTGACTGTCTGGCTGTGAGTTAACAAAACCTGAAGGTAGCTTTTCATTCCACCCGGGTAATTCAACATTCCTTTTATTAAACTAACTATAAAATAAGACTAGCTCATATTCCACTAACTGAAAAATTTAGGACATTGTCTAAAATGTATGAATCTAAGATTTTCACTTCTCTGTGTTCCCTTTTATTAGGTATATCAACCATACTTGTGAGCTTTAAAACAAAACCTGAAATTGGCTCCAGAAGGAAAGAGAATAGGAGTGAGGCTTAGTCTAGAGTTTCCCCAAAGTTTCCCCATTCTTCAGCAGCCTGGCATGAGAGGCAGTGACAGGCCTGAAAAGGTTTACCCACGTAAAAGGGGGTAGCTTGGAAGGTTAGGGGGCACCAAGAAAAGCACTTCAAAGGAGTCTGTGTGAAGAAGAGACCAATCAGACTTCCAGCAGACCTCTGGTCCCAGGCTCAGGTCTGAGAGCCACTATACCTGCCGCCTCCCTCTCCGATCTGCAAGGTCTGTCTGATTCTGCACTTGGTTCCTTCTGCTGTGGGTGCATGCCCAGCTTCACCTCCTCATTGCTTTATCCTCACGATATCTTATCCTTTAAACCTCACCTCTGGGCTCTCCTCCCAGAGGAAGTGTCCTGTGGCCTATGATGCTGCAATGTAGATCCTCGTGCAAGACACTCCAGGAATTCTTCTCACCTCTGCCTTGGCATTTGCATACCATACTGGAGTCCTTCTGCCCAAATACTTGCCTCCTATTTTTGCTCTGTAGAGTCTTTCGCGAAGTCGTGTACTTGTACCCCAGGCCATTCACAGTCACTATTGTGCATCAAATTATATGCAATAATAAGTCTGAACCAAAACCTAGATGTGCATTTGCAGACACAGGAATATGAACTATCAGTCAGGAATTTGACTTTATTCTTTATTTGAATTATCATATATGTTTTGAAGTTTTAAGTATTTCTCCAGAAACAAACCATACCTGTTGTCTGAGGTTTCTGTCCTGCCCGGTTCCCACAATTGTTAACTCCCAAAGAAATCACACATAGGTCGACATTACTTATAAACTGATTGTCCTAGTAGCTCATACTTCTTATTAACTCTTATAACTTTTATTAGCCCATTATTCATGTCTATGTTAGCCAAGTGGCTTGGCACCTTATTCGGTGAGGCAGTCACATCTTGCTTCTTCTGTGGGTGAGTCACGACTACAGAATTGAGCTTTCCTTTTCCCAGAATTCTCCTGTTCTCGTCGCCCTGCCTGGTTGTCCTGCCTATACCTCCTGCCTGGTGTAACATGAAGACTGGCTTGTTGGGGTTTCTGTCTTGCCCAGTACCCCACAGCCAGCAAGCCCCAAAGAAAATCACACAGAGATCTCCATAAGTTATAAAACTAATTGGCCCATTAGCTCAGGCTACTTATTAGCTCTTATATCTTATGCTAGCCCATTATTTTTATCTATGTTAGCCACATGACTCGGTACCTTTCACAGCTGGGCAGGTTACATCTTGCTTCTCCGTGGTCTGGACAGGAATGGGAGGAGAGGGCTTCCTCCTTCCTAGCATTTTCCTGTTCTCATCACCCCACCTATACTTCCTGTCTGGCCAATCAGCGTTTATTCAAAATAAACAGATTGACAGAATACAGACAATTCTCCCGCACTACCTGGCTACTGGTCAATCAACATTTATTAAAATGCAATTGACAGGGTATAGACCATTGTCCCACAGCACATACCCAAGAGTCTGATCATATCTCAAGATGCAATTTATGTTTGGGACCAGGATGATGTCTTGGTGGGTAAGAATTCAGTCTAGGAATTGGAGGGAGGATTTGGAGAAGGACAGCAGTACTTAGGTAAAGAATCTTTGAAATGTATCTCCTATCCAAATAGATTTTTGAGTATAATGTAAATATCTAAAGCTGCTTGGAATCTTTATTGAAATGTTTAAGAGCTGTATGTGGAAACAGGGCATGGGCAGTGTTTGGGCCTGATGACATGAAAGAGTATATGTATATTGCTGCATAGCACCTGACCTTTCCAAAATATGTCACATGGACATATTTAATCTTTCAGATTAAAAATAGGAGTCAAAACTTAAAGCCACTCTTCTGAGAAAACAATGTATAATATATCTAGAATCAACCCATAGAGCTGCCATTGACAAAATGTGAGCTTTCCCACTTAGACCATTTAGAATGTTGGAAAATGGAATTCAACTGACTGGTGTCTTCCTGTGTCTTCTCTTCCTTAGCGGCATTGGACGGAACTGGCCCTGGGCCTCGGGGGGCAGCAGTATCCTGGCAGAATTTGGAACTTTGCATTTGGAGTTCATGCACTTGAGCCACTTATCAGGAAACCCCATCTTCGCTGAAAAGGTGAGTCTTGAGAGCGCTTGTGCAAAGCGGGCAGGAAAAAAAAATGAGGTCTGTGTAACTGCAGGAAGCTCTGGAATGTGTCTGATTTCCCTTGATCAGAGGGTCAACCTTGTCTCTCTATGATACTGTGTAACTCGTGGTGAGAGGGCCTGCCTTCCCCCGTGGGGCTTGCTGGACATTAAATAAGTTATTTATTTGTATGAATTTTTTCCATCTACAAATATGAAGTACTGTATACTGTGCATGAAGCAAATATGTGAGAGGTTAAAGTGTTACACAAATAAGCCATGGCAGGGGAATAGATTCGTTAGTAAGATGCAAACCTGCTGCAGCCAGCGCAGCCTGGATAGCCAAGACTGGCAGGGAGGTGCCAAGATTGAGACATGGAGGCTTCTTTTCTGGTGGAAGAACAGCAACCTTTATTTTTGCCCAGCAACCTTTTATACCTCTACTCCTTCTGTGGTGACCCACCGGCCAGAAAGAACACAAACATCCTTGTTAATTACAGACCACAAGGAAGTTCCACTGTCAGTCAGGGGGAGTAAGGGCAGCTGGATCACAACACAAACCCATCCAAACTACCTTACCTCACCACTTGGCTTTTAGCTCTTACCTCTTTAAAAAAAAAAAAAAACTCCTTGAAAGAAAAGAGTTGTCGTTCACTTTGTTGAAATTGTCCTCAAACACCTCTGTAACAGGAGGGGCCTGCTTGTCCCACCCAGTACCCCATAGCCAGCAAGCCCCAAAGAAAATCACACAGAGTCTACATTAGGTTATAAACTGATTGGCCCATTAGCTTAGTCTTCTTATTAGCTCTTGTAGCTTATATTAACCCATTATTCTTATCTAGGTTAGCCACATGGCTCAGTACCTTTCTCAGCAGGGCAGGTCATATGTTGCTTCTCGGTGGTCTGGATAAGAATGCAGAGGGAGCTTCCTGCTTCCCAGAATACTCCCATTCTCTTTGCTCCACCACTACTTCCTGTCTGGTTTTCCCGCCTATACTTTCTGCCTGGCCAATCAGCAGTTATTTGAAATATGATTGACAGAATACAGACAATTCTCCCGCACCACACCTCATCCTTCCCAGACCCCCGACCACCATGGTACAGCCGTGCTCCCTCCCATCATCTCCTGTCCTGTTAGCCTCTGCCCGAGTGAACTCACATGACTACAGCCAAAATCGCCCTAGAGGAGCAGCTCATAACAACCTCACTTGTGTTGTGGCCACCCACAGGTCTACAGCTGGGATTTGAGTCAGGAAGATTTCATTCCTAGGTCTCTTGTGTGCCTCTGCCAAGGGGCAGGTGGCAAGGGTGGCAAAGAGGCCTGTCCTCCTGAATATCCCTCAGAGCCCCAATTCCTAATACCCTTGCACTAAGGCTGAGGGGTGGAACTCAATGAAGAAGAATTTGCATAATCCCTTCTCCCCCCACCACAGCAGTGGTCTTCTCTTGACCTACTATTTATATTTATTTTCTATATGATCCTAGTCAGATGCACAGTTCCAAACAAGTAGTTACTTGTTTTATACATTGATACTGTCTTGTTATATAGATCACAGTCTCCACTTGGGATCCAGGGTTCTCGATAGATATGTCTATATGCACTTAAGACAATCACAACGCTACTAATTCTCAAACCTTTTATCGACTCTTTTTTCCACCCTGACCAAATAATAATAATAATAATAATGAGCAAGATAGAAAGAATGGCATGTGAACTTTATCTTAGATTTTCACATTAGCACTGCTTTTCTTTTATAGGTAATGAATATTCGAACAGTGTTGAACAAGCTGGACAAACCGGAAGGCCTTTATCCTAACTATCTGAACCCCAGTAGTGGACAGTGGGGTCAACGTAAGTCCAAAGCTGAGCAATCCTTCTCTCTTCTGGGTGCCCAGCACCGTACTGTTCTTGTAAAGGAACGTTGGCAGGGGAAGTGAGACATTACCAGCCTCAGACAGACTGCTGCTGGGAAACCAGACAGCTCGTATTCTCAGATAGCCATGAGTCTGATGACATTGTTGTAAGCATATTTGAAACTCTTAGTCAGAAAAGGAAGACCTGGCCAGGGTGTGTCAGGTGGGGGCCTTCAGGCTTGCCCTGGGGTTACAAGGAAAGCAGGGTCCTCTGTGCTGACGACAGTAATGCTGCTACCCAGAGCTAAATGACTTCTGACCTTTTCTACTAGGAGTTGGGAAAGGAGAAGCACAGACAGAGATCTTCCTCTTCATAATTTTAAGCTACCAGATAAAGATTTCTTGTGTGTGAATTACCTTTAACATAGAAACAAGCGTCAACCAAGATCTTCTAATGCCAGCAGCCCGCACTTCAGCTAATTTTCAACAGAGGTAGAAAGGCTTGGAATTTGTAAAAAGAAATGTTCTCCAGCTAATTTGTAAAGAGTGTGAAAGGTTAAGTAGCAATTGAAAGCAAGAGAGACATCTAGCTATGGTGGAGGTAGTAACACTGCCTTGAACTTTTACTCTAATTCTGGCTTTCTTTTATATTAAATATCATATTCTGAGATAATTAGGTCTTACTATTCTTTTAGAAGTACTTCTTTGAAAGAACAAGTTAATAATAAGAAAAAAAATCGTGCTAAATCCCTTGTCTCCTGTTTGTAATTGCTACGAAGAGCCTGGATCTAGTTGCCTTAGACCCGTGAGCCTCCCACTCAGTGTGGTCTCCGGGTCACTGGAAATCCTGGGCACCTTTCTGAGTTTATGAATACTGGGACATTTTGCCTTTTTCCTGTGCATGTTTGCACTTACATTGGGTGAGCAACGGTGGGGAAAACTGGCAAACTCAGTAACAGAATCAAGACAGACATCAAAGGGTACTAATGTTCACTGTGATTTCTACCATAATTAAAATCTACCAGTGTCATTTATACATGCTTTGACAAAGCAGAGGAGTAACTTTGATCCTAGTAGACAACAACCCGAGTGGCCATAGAATCACGTGACTGACTGCTTGTGACCAAATACCTGGCAAAAGCGGCTTTGATGAAGGAAGGGTCTGCTTGGGGTCACAGATCACGAGCATAGTCTCTCATGGTGGTAAGCACTTGTGACAGCATCCGAGGGGAAGAGTGCTCCACTTTCTTTGTTCTCTGTAGTCTTTATGGAAGCCTCCCCACAGGACGGTACCATCCTCACTTGGGTCTTCCACTTCAGTTAACCCGATCTAGAAACTCCCTCACGGACATGCTGAGAGCTTGGTTTCCTGTGTGACTCTAGGCCTGGCTGAGTCCACCATCAATAGTAACCATCACAGTCATTTTTTGTGTGAGGAAATGAATGTACACAGAAGTGTTTCTGATACAGGATGAGAAAATACCAAGGGTGTGGGGGAAATCTTGTGTTCCAAGATTACGTTATTTCTAGTAGTCTTGCTTGCTATGGGATGCTTACGATTATTCTTTTGTGAGTCGCCATCTTTAAAGCACAAATAAAATCAGCTTGTTATTCAGATCTAGGAAGTTGGTTCTGAAAGACTGAGAAAAATGGTGTTTGCACCAGTGGTAAATTTTGAGTTTCCAAATAAAAATTAGAATTGTAGAAAACTTGTATATATCACCATGAGCTTGCCTCCATTAGTTTCCTGATAATATTGGCGGTGACTTTAACGAAGGTGTTCTTTGTTTTTACTCTGTAATAAAATATGTCAACATGGCCTAGCTATGTATGTCAGAAAGAATCAATATTTTCCAAACAATCAGTTCATGCTATTATGAAATCATGCATAACAATAAAAAAATCACTAAAAATACAGGATAGTCGATAGATTTTAATGTAACAGCATATAAAAGTTTACTGAGGGGCTGGAGAGATGGCCAAAGACCCAGGTTCAGTTCCCAATCCCCACCTGATAACTCACACTGCCTGTAATTACAGTTCCAAAGGATCTACTTCCTTTCTGGCTAATGAGGACACTGGGTCTACTCAGGATATGTATACATACATGCAAGCACTCATACCAACATATAAAATAATTGACCTTTTAAACACCACATGTTAAGTTTTTTTTTTTTACCAAAAATATATTGAAATAACTGCATGTGCATGGGGGGCTATACTCGTATGCATGCATCCAGGTGTGTGTGTGCGTGCGTGTGTGCGTGCGTGTGTGTGACAGAGATTAACCTGAGGGTTCTTCAGATTCCATTCACCTTGGAATTTGAGATCAGGTTTCTCACTGGCCTGGGACCCAGGGCTAGGCTAGCTGAGCGGGCCAGGGACATGCTTGTCTCTGCTTTCTCCATGCTGGTGTTACTGGCAGGTGACACCAGGCCCAGCTTTTGAAATGTGGGTTCAGAGGACTCAGGTCCCCATTGTTGTATGGTGAACTGATGAGCACTTTACCACCTGAGCTCCATCTCTAGCCCCTGAAGAGATGATTAAGATACGCTCCCTTTTCCCAGCTGTACAACTGTGTGAGACTGACTTTTCTTAGTATACTTCAGCCAAAGCAATGTATGCCAATGGATCAAACCTGGATCAGACATGAGTATCCAGGCAGTAAAGCAAACATTCAGAAGACTGGTGGAAAAAAAAAAAAAGGTAAAATAGTGTCATTCTTCCCACTGATTTGTTTCATTTGTAAAATAATATTTTTGTGAAAAATACCATTTGTTGTTGTTAACTATTAATTTTAATGAATCAACAAAATTACTACTGAATTCTGTTTCAGTTTTCCACCATGATTAATATTGACAGATGTTATGGGATGTTTAACTCTTTTGGGGGCCCCGCCACCCAGCTCCCAAATAAATCACACACATGGAGGCATCTTCTTAGTTATGAATGGCCGGCCTTAGCCTGGCTTGTTGCTAGTCAGCTTGTCTTTGCTTATACTAACCCATCTACCTTTTCCCTCTGGTCGTTTATCTTTCTTATCTCTGTACATCTTACTTTCCTTCTTACTTCATGGCTGGCTGTTTGGATGGGAGACTGGCCCCTGGCATCTTCCTCTCCTTGCTCTGCCAGCCCCACCTATCCTTGCTCCTGCCCTGCTGTTGGCCATTCAGCTCTTTCTTAGACCATCAGATGTTTTCGACAGGCACGGTAACACCGCTTCACAGAGTTAAACAAATACAGCATGAACAAAAGTCACACATCTTAAAGTAGTATTGCCCAACGGATAGATACTACACAGTGAGCATCTCTTCAGAGTACTCATTGATCTTTAAGAGTGTGAGGAGCCCTAGGACTAACATCAAATGTCTGAGGCCCACTAGAATATGTAGATACGGCACAATTAGATAGAATTTTCTAAAAGGGTAACCGGTGTCAGAGTTTTTCTCATCTCGTATTTCAAAAGTTTAGGGAAAGTCTCTTTGGTTTCTGGCTTCCTTTCTTTAACTTGGGGTTTAGAAATCACTGTGGAAAGGACTATGAAGAGGCAGTTACTCCAGAACGTCTGCCTTCACCGTCTTGGTCACCCATATGCTGTATATTTGGCTTTGTTCCCTGGTACAAAGAGTCTTTTATATTTCGATTGCTTATCAGCCAATTTTCTGATGGAAAAACAAACAGGATTGATGAGTCTCATATTTGCTCTCTCCCAGCCTCCATCCTGTGTTCTAGTCATACAAAAGCAATACTTCTGTTTTTAGTTCTAGGTCTTAGGTTTTTGTTTGTTTGTTTTGAAGTTTGTTTTTGTTTGGTTGGTTGATTGGTTGGTTTGGGGTTTTGTGGGGTTTGTTGTTTTGTTTTGCTTTGTTCAGGCCTTGCCTTTCATACTATTTTCTCAGCTTTTTTACTTAGCTCCTTCACTAAGCTCCAGACCTCACGCCCTTTCTCCCAGAAGCCTTTTCCCGGCTCTGGTTGGAATTGGTTAGCATCCTCTACACCTCTACGTCTTCCTCTCCAGCACCACACTTTGGGCTGTTTCTACCCACAGTGCCCTTCCTGATACTCACACACACCCAGCTTCCTAGGGATACAAAGCTTTCAAAGTTGGTAAGCTTGCCATTGGGTTTGTTTGCTAACCCAGAACACAGTACTTTGTACTGACTCGGTGATCATTTACTTGAATGTTTTGCAAATCCCTGTGTGTTATATCTGACCTTTCACCCTTTCAGCAATAATTCTATTTATGCTTCTGTGAACAATTGTCCCTGCTTCTTAGATCTGGCTACAAAGCATCACAGCCTATGTACAGGGGAAAAATGGGCTTTGTGACCATTGCTCTAAATGAAAGGCACCATGAATCTCTGTGTGTGTGTGTGTGTGTGTGTGTGTGTGTGTGTGTGTGCTGTGTGTCATAGCAGTACTGAAACAATGCTTTGGACAGATAAATTTAGATTCATGTAAAGCTGATTTAAAAAAATTAAGAAAAATTATTAATAATTTTGATCCTCCTGTTCTTGATTCTTTTAGTATTTCTATTGTCATTTTGTTTTAGTTTTCTCTTTTTAGATATTGGAAACCTTTTTGGGGGACCAATTCCTATCAAAAATCACAATTTACTCCTTTAGAGAAGAACAAAAGATTTGAGTAACTACTCATTACTGTGAAAACTGTGAGGCAGGAAAATAACAAATTTTACTCTAGAGTCAGGGGTCATGTCCTCCTGAAAATTCTGGTGACAAAGAATTTACGGAGAATTCTGGTACCACACAAACTGTCATCCAGACCTGGGGAAGCTCAATAATGAGATACTAAATTATCAAAAATATGATGTACATTTTTTTGATAGCCAGAAAAAAAATAATTTAATTAACACCAAAATTCATTGAAATAAATATATTACTATATAACCCCATCTTCTCTAAAATAATCCTCCCCTGATTATTTTATTATTTCCTTAAAATTACCCAAGCTTGTTCTTTCGTTATTGTGAATTCTAGCCAAAGAGGGCAATGCCATGCTGCTCCTGGCTGTTAGCTTTCCACTCTCATTGCTCTGGCTCTAAAGGGCAGGTCTGGATCGTGGCCATCATTCCCTCTAACTTCATTTGGCCTTGTTATTTTGACAGTAACCGGACAGGGATTTGCTTTGCCATGCATCACTTGCGTTTGTCTCCTACAGTCATGCTTACAACAGCAGGACTTATTATTGATGAGATCCTACTTAGTCTATTTAGTTTGTAAATGTCAGGGGTTTCTCTGGTAATTTATTTAGGAAGCCGTAAAGGTCATGTGCTGCTATTTTAAGAAATCAGACTTACAACTTTAAAAACATATTTTCCCTAAAATTTAATTCCTGCGATTCTGGATTCCGTAATAAGGAAATTGCATATTTAAACCCATAAAATCAAGCCCTACAAATTGGAAGAGGTACAGTCCTTACTAACATTGATGTGCAAGACATTGGATCATCGACATCACTTAGTATTGAGGGTATGAGGCTTTCCAGGGCCCATTGTAGATTAGAAACATAAGGACCTGTCTCTGCTCTCATAGATCATGATTTGGTCAGGAGGCAAAGTACTTTAACCACATTATGGAAGGAAAAGTACAACAAAAATGTGCTGTCCAAAGACTTGTGAAGGAGGGAGACCTTGAGAGGTTTTCAGGGAAGGTGTCTTAAAGGAAGCTTGTGTGACCCTGGATATGAAATCTGAGAAAACAAGGCCTACAGAATCCCTGGGGGAGATAGATGGAAACTGAGCATTTCGAGGATCCAAAGGTCTATACGACAGGTGAGCAGAGTCCAAGCGGCCAATGGCGTGAAGGAGAGTGGGATCATAAAGTCCTCCCTGGTCCCCAGAAAGCCGGGGTTGAAGGGCTTTGAGATCGTGGTGACCAGACTGACCTGTGAGGAGGCTGGGTGGCAGGAGTGTGGAGGGAGAGAGGCTGTCATGCTTCCTGGAGCAAAGGACATGCTGACTTCCTGTCCAGCACAGCAAGCAAGACTGCGTAGAACTGCTGAGCATCCGGCCAGCTGAGGAGCTGACCTTGCTGTTCAAGTTTACTAAAATTCAGTAGAAATAGCCAGGAAGTGAGATAACGGACCACTGCAGAAGACAGGCAGACAAGCAGGACCTGTTCTCGTGTCCTTCCTGTCTCTGCGATGAAACACTGTGACCTGAAGTAACTCACGAGGGAAAGGCTTTGTTTGGCTCCCTCTTCTAGGTCACAATCCATCATTAAGAAGTCAGAGCAGGAACTTAAAACGGAAACCGTGGAGGACCTGTGCTTTCTGACTCGCTCCCAGGCCTGAGCTACGCAGCCGAGCACCAGCCACCTAGAGAAGTAGAGCACACGTGGTAGGCATTCCCACACCAACTAATAATGAAAACGGTCTTTTATAGATATGCCCACACGTCAGTCTGGCCTGGGCAATGTCCCAGTCTCTCATTTGGGAGTCCTTTCTCAGGTGACCGTAGGCTGTGTCAAGCTGTCAGTTCAAGCTAACTGGGACAAGAATAGTGGTGGCTTGAGCCAGGATCAGAGTGGCAAGAACAGAGGGGAACAGGGAGATTCTAAAGATACCTGGGAAGGATAGAGTGTAGAGTTCAGAACCCACTGCTTGTGGGAAGGCAGAGTCAGAGAAAATAATGTGTCAAATGACTGTTTAATGACTCTTGATGTATTTTGTTGAAGTTTGTGTTGCTAGGAAACTGAACCCAGAACCCTAGTGTATGCAGGGTAAGTGGCCAGCTGAGCTACATCCCAGCCTCATTGATTCCTTGGATTCCAGTGTATATGAATGGGAGGATGGAAACATGAGTAGGAGGGGAAGTTGAAGCCAAAAAAAGAAAAAAGAAAAAAAAAGGGGAAAAATTAATTTCTGGTGTATTCAATTTTTTAGCACCCATGCAGATTCAAAGCAGAGTTGTTGGTTGGGCAGCAGAACAATTCTTATACCTAGAGATATATACTAAAGCACTCCTGAGCAACCAAGTCAAGAAATAGACTTTTAATTTTAGATTTAACTTGGTGTTATGAAATCCTGAAAAGCCATTTTGATAATAGTCAAGTTCCCTCAACTCTGGGCATGGTGTTTCAAATCAATTGTGTTTGTGGTTTTAGAAGCATATGTATTTTAAAAATGAAGATTCATTTATATTTGATGTTTTATGACGAAAAACAAACATCCAAACGTAGGGCCCTGTGTGGCCTGTGGAGTGCAATGGCTCGCACTGTGGTTTCTCCTGGCTGAGATGACTCGTTTTCTTGTGGTGAGGATGAGGACACCTAGACATACTAGGTGGTCTTTGCAGTAGACCGAGCATCGTCAATGGCAGTGGACGTATATTGTGGGGTTGACGTGTGGGAAGACAAGTAGTTCTGGAGTAGACCGAGCATAGTCAATATTGGTGGAGGTGTACTATGGGGTTGGTTGACGTGCCAGGAGTGGAGGTGTGCTGTGGGGTTGACGTGTCAGGAATGGAGGTGTACTGTGGGGTTGGTTGACGTGTCAGAAGTGGAGGTGTGCTGTGGGTTTGACGTGTCAGGAATGGAGGTGTACTGTGGGGTTGGTTGACGTGTCAGAAGTGGAGGTGTGCTATAGGATTGACATGTCAGGAATGGAGGTGTACTGTGGAATTGACATGTCGGGAGTGGAGGTGTACTGTGGGGGTGACGTGTCAGGTGTGGAGGTGTACTGTGGGGGTGACGTGTCAGGTGTGGAGGTGTACTGTGGGGTTGACGTGTCTGCAGTGGAGGTGTACTATGGGGGTGACGTGTCAGCAGTGGAGGTGTACTGTGGGATTGACGTGTCGGGAATGGAGGTGTACTGTGGGGTTGATGGCAGTGGAGGTGTACTGTGGGAGTGACGTGTCAGCAGTGGAGGTGTACTGTGGGGGTGACGTGTGGGAAGACAAATAGTTCTGCTTTCTTCCTTCTTAGGATTCCTGCCCATCAATTTATTTATTTATTTACTCAGATCTAAACTAAATTTTAAATATTTAAATATAGACTCTGGAACATTTTAATCCAGTTTTTTGTTTGTTTGTTTTAACTAGAGAACCAGGTGATTTGAATTTGAAGTGACTCCACATAATTTTTCGTCATGTCTACAAAAGCACCCTGGTGACTAGTACAGCTACATCACGTGACCTCACAGCCCTTCTGCTCATTTCAGCTCTTTCAGAAACGGGATTGGTTGGAATTTACATGTTCCATTGAGTTACAGCTGACGGGCTTCGAATCCTAGTTGCTAATATGATTTTGCCGCATTATCGGAATGAAACGCTGAGTCACCCTGAAATCCATTTCTCTCTCTTTTTCAGATCATGTGTCAGTTGGAGGACTTGGAGACAGCTTTTATGAATATTTGCTCAAGGCTTGGCTAATGTCTGACAAGACCGACACAGAAGCCAAGAAGATGTATTTTGATGCTGTTCAGGTAAGCCAAGATTTAAATCATCTTTGCTAGTCAGCTCTAACGTGCAACTTGCATATTAATCAGACTTTAATGAAAAAAATAGAATACAACGTGAGTGGCTTATAAAGTATTTCCAGTTGGGCGAGCTCAATGTCTGCAGTGTAATTATGGCAATAGTAACCATACTTGGGTTTTAGTTCTACCAGAGCAGTGGAAGGTATGGTTCTAATCTCCCCTAAGAGCCATGCATCTAGCCAGGCATAGTGGTAACCACCTGGGCTTCCAGCAACTGGGGGTGGAGGGCAGGGCGACTGCTTTGAGTTTGCAGTCTGACCGGGCTACATGGTGAATTCCAAGTCAACCTGAGCCACAGCCACCTGTGGGAGGAAAGGCGGCTGTGGACCAGTTTCCATTCTGGCAACAGCAAAACACATGGAAGACAGTGCTCCCTGAAGGTGATACTGTCTCCTAGCATCATCATGGCATCTCTGTTATGTCCACACAGTGGCACTGCTGAAGGGCATATGGCTTGGAATATACCCCTTTCCCTAAGCAATGGGACTATGTTCTTTCCTTAACATTGTACAAATTGGGGAAGAAATCCTGGATGTATGCTCTGAAAACTGACTCAGTTAAAATTGCTGAAGATCACTGACACTCCAGTGCCTCTGCTATCTGAACCCATCTCCGGAGATCTAAGAAAACTATAGCTAAATCCACAGAACTTTAGCTTTTTTGTTAAATGCACAGAATATTTTTATAATTGATGCTATTGGTTTACAAGGAAAAAAAAGAACTATTTTTCTTGGGGACAGAGAGTTGAGATCGACTCTCCTCTATCCCAGGATCCCCTAGAACCTATGCAGCCAAGGATGATCCTGAACTCCTGATCCTCCTGCTTCTACCCCCCAAGTGCCAGGATTTCAGGCACAGGCCTGACCATAGAAACCTGTGACAACACTTATTTTAAGTCTTTAGCCTAAACATATTGTCTTCTCTAATAGGTCTGAGTGATTTGCTTATTTAAATGTAATGTAGCTTGTAGTACAAAGGGCAGGCCGCTTCTCGCCGCTCACCCAGCTAGCTTTACCCAGAATAATTACATGGAAACTATATTCTTTTAAAACACTGCTTGGCCCACTAGTTTCAGCATCTTATTGGCTAACTCTCACATCTTGATTAACCCATTTCTAATAATCTGTGTAGCACCACGAGGTGGTGGCTTACCGGGAGGATTTTAACCTGTGGCTGTCTGGGAGAGGAGAGTTATGGCGTCTGCCTCATTGCCTTTTTCCCAGCATTCTGTTCTGTCTACCCCACCCACCTAAGGGCTGGCCTATCAAAAAGGCCAAGGCAGTCTCTTTATTAACCAATGAAAGTAACATGACCCTTCTCCATCAGTAGCTAGCTTTGGCCTGGCCAGCTGAATTGAGCATTCTTTTATTTCCCTCCCTAGATCCAGTCAAGAGCTTCAGAGAGCAAACTAGAACCCTCAGTTCACACACACCCAGGCATCAGAAATCCCTTAGGCTCCAGATGAACATCAAACGCAAGCTAGGCTGTGGCCCCTGTGCTCCTGTCCTCATTTGGTAGCGCTAGAGAGCTCGTTCTAATCAGGGTCACTTTTCCTTCTCCCAGTGAAGTTTCAGGTATTAATCTGAAGAATTCTTTTCAGTATAATCGGGCTTGCATTGTGTCATCTTAATTGCCATTCTAGCAGACGTTGTCTCTGTTTTACTTTTAGAGTGGCCCTCTATTCCAAGAAAAGCCATTTTGAAATATTGAAGTGTTTTCCCCCAGTTTCTAGAATTGTACCCACCTAACTGTTATTAGACAAATAGTTGACAGGAAAATCCATTAAGAGCAAATGTAGCAAAGTATTTCCTGTGATTCTTAATTGAGAAAACATTTCCAATACATTCTATATTTTCAAGCTGCAGAGCAAAGTTAGGGGAAAAAAAAAAACAAAGTTCTGAGTTTGAAAGTAGTATTGTCTTCGAAGCAGAATCTCTTTGACCAAAGTTATACTTTATCACATACCATAAACATTCCAGCATGGATTAGGAGGGGGCATAGAAGCCCCCTCTCCTGCTGAGATGCTGTTGACAGTTGATGGCTAGGGAGAAAGAAGAAAAGTCAGTTTTCCAGGTAGGCCACTGGTGGCCGCGCATGCTCCAGGGGATGACTTCACACAAACTTATACAAGGACTTTGTGGGGTTTGGAGGGCATTATTAGTTTGTTTTCTTCAAGAGGACATGAAGAATGGAAGGGAGGGAGAGGGCAACTTGAAGGAATTGGGGAGTAAATATCAAAATACATTGCACACATGTGTGAAACTTCAAAGTATAAATGAAACACATTTTTTAAGATTATTGAGTCAGGGCCAGAGATGTACACCTGAGGCCTAAGGCTCAGTTGACTTTGAAAGTTCAAGGGCAGCCTGAAGAACTTAACAAAAACAAAACCTGCCTACTTCAAGAGAAGGATGCTATATGCATTTGTTCTGAACTGTGGAATCACTGGGAATGTGGTCCCTCAGTTTTAGCTTTCGGTGAATTCAGAATTATGTCATGCACTGTGCTTTAACTATACAATTCTCTGATCTCTCAGAGATGGTTTTTATGGCCTTCCCTGGACACTAAGAATTTGTAGTGGGGCAAGACACATGGGTAGGTGGTGGACCATTTAGGAGTTCAGAGGCCTCACCAAATTAATACAAATATGGAAGAATTCAGTCACAGAGTATATCATGCTCTTTTCTCCAGTCAATTCCCTAGAGATTTGACCCAAAAAAAATATTTATTAGAATCATATTAGGTTATATTTACAATTTTCCATTTTCACACAAAACCATGGCTTTGGGTGCAAACCTTCATCCGAGTTTATTTTAGGAAGCAGCGAGTTGGTCAGAATCATACGAAAATAATATAGTACTTTATTCGCTCTCCATAGCAGGGTAATAATGTTTCTTTAATCTGTGCTCAAAGGCTATTACTCTTGCCGTGTAGAAAGAATAATTTCTTGGGTGATGAACAAGTATCTGCTTGAAGGACTTTATTGCAATTTGCGTTATGAGAAGTGTAAATAGCGAAGATGTGCAGTTGCATTAAATGAGAATGAAATATTAATGCAATAACTAAACCATCAATAAAATTAGCTTAAGCACAGCTAATGAGCACAGCAGTCTTCATTTATTTCTCCCTGTCTTGCTTTCATTTGTTTATTTCTAATAAAGGTAGAGAAGGTCTCATCTGCCGGCACATTTTTCAATCATTCTTCTCGGCCTTCCCAACGTGTGTCCTGAAAACCCTACTTTTCCTGACAGCAGTGGTTGCTGCAGATCCCACGTGGGCCTTTCCTTCCTGTGTCACGATGTGCGGATCATTCTCTCCAAAAATCATTGGGAATTAGTCATTTCAAACATGCCTCATACTTTTTGACTTTTTAAATACAAGGCTTATTTTATTCTAATCTAGTTTTTGATAATATCAATAGTTCATGGACATAAATAAAATATGTCACATCAATCATTTTTGTAAATATTATTTTTATCCTTAAATATCTTCATTTGTTTTAAAATTTGAACTATAGAGTAATATATTCCTCACTAGAATAAACAGGGGAAGGGCTTGACTTAATTTCTCTCTGTATGTGTGGGTGCATACAGAAGCCAGCAGTCAGTTCAGGTGTCATTTCCTCAGGAGCCCTTCACCTCATTTTCTCTGTGTGACGTGGTCTCTCATTGGCCTGGCGCTCACTGATGAGGCTACACAGGCTGGCCAGCCAAGGAAGGCCCAAGCTTTTCTGCGTTTCCCCTCCCCAACACTGAGATTGCAGCAAGCGCCACCACTCCCAGTTTGTTGCCTGCTTCACTGTCTGAACCACTGCCCCAAACCCTCCAATCAGCTTCTTGTTACTACGGAAGAGATGTAAATAAGTGACTTTCCGGTTTTAATACCGACTTCTTTTAAACACGCCACTGCAATCTCCACAGCAGAGAGTACTGTTCCCATCTATGGATGAGGAGGATCTGAGACACAGATACTCGAAATAAATTGCCTGCAGCGTTCCTTGACAGTGTCAGAACTATAATTTGGAGTTATGTAATCTGACTCCAGAACAGCCCATCTTTACCATTCTGCTATCCTGTTCAAGCCTATGTGGGAGAAAACAGTAACACCACCATACTTGAACTAAGACCCCAGCATGTTCTGTTCGTCATCTACAGTGGGACACAGGCTTTGTACTGAATCAACTCAGACATGGCCTTGGTGTCCCGTCTGTGAGAAGTGAATGGCATTTAGTGAATGAGAACTGTAAGTGTTTGGTCATGCAGCCAAACAAAGCCACTGGGGCTGGGTCAACAGGGAAGAATCTAACCAGGTAAATAAATGAAGCATGGAGTGAAGGATGGAACACAGAAAGCAGTAACATTTCAGATCAGCTTAGACTCGTGACAACAAACTCAAATAGCAAGTAGTATTTTCTATATATATGGATGGATATACACATACATTTTTAATTATAGTATAAAACTGAGAGTGTCATTGGCACATACTTGAAGCTGAGGCAGGAGAATTGCTGTGAGAGGCCAGCCTACCCTACTATAATGAGGTCAAGGCAGTCGATCAGTGGTCTGTGGCAAAACCATGTCTCATAAAGAAAAAGACGAGAGAAAAGAAAATAGTTGATGATACAATCATAATATAGAACTTATTATAAATTTGAGAAAAATCACAGACTATCAAAAATGTTTTCTGTCCAGGCCATTGAGACTCACCTGATCCGCAAGTCCAGCGGGGGACTAACGTACATCGCTGAGTGGAAGGGGGGCCTCCTGGAACACAAAATGGGCCACCTAACATGCTTCGCAGGGGGCATGTTTGCACTCGGGGCTGATGGAGCTCCAGAAGCCCGGGCCCAGCACTACCTTGAACTTGGAGCTGAAATCGCCCGCACCTGTCATGAATCTTACAATCGCACCTGTAAGTACTTGTTACTCTTCATTCGGAATCCATTCCCCCACGATTTGTACTCAGTAAAGAGCTTTTTCATAGCTATGAGCAACAAAGAAAGGGATGAGGAAGAAAGGGAGGGAGGGAGGGAGAGAGAGAGGGAGGGAGGGAGGGAGGGAGGGAGGAAGAAAAGAAAAGGACGATGAAGTTTGGTGATGCTAATATCTTAAAGGAACTTAGGCCTTTACTTAAAAGTCACTGCTTTTATACAAAATATACATCTTGGTGTGTCAAGTAACTGGCCATACAAGTTAAGTCAGTCTCATTTACTGTCAGTAACACTGAGTAAGGGTCTCTGCTCTAATACAAAAAGAAGCTTCCCTGAAGTCCCATAAGGAGATTGTATGTCTGGCTTCCTGTTTATAAAATAAGCACTTAAACACGAAGATTAAGTAGCTGGCCTTTTGTGACATACTAAGAGAACTCTCAACCACTGGGCTTCCAGTTACCTAACAAATGGCCAAATGGCTGTGGGACTTTATAAAGTTTAAGTTTATAAACACATGGTGGGTGTTCAATAAATAATGAGGAAAAAAAGAATTGTTGACATTTTCTAAAATAGATTCCTTTAGATAACTGAAATTTGGAAGTCTATTGATTATTGTGTGTGGTATGGTGTGTATAACCAGTCCTTGAAAGGGCCACTCTTGCCTCTGTCTTCAGTATGGCCAAGTACTTGACAATTTTGTCAAGATTGTGTAGCCTTATTCAGGAGGTGACCCTTGTTAAGCGATTGTTTGTGCTGTAGACATGAAGCTGGGACCAGAAGCTTTCCGATTCGATGGCGGTGTAGAAGCCATTGCCACGAGACAGAATGAGAAGTACTACATTTTACGGCCAGAAGTCATTGAGACCTACATGTACATGTGGCGACTGACTCATGACCCCAAGTACAGGACCTGGGCCTGGGAAGCCGTAGAGGTGAAGTTCGCATTTGTGTGTTTCTTACAGTTCAGTTTCTTGGTGTAAAAAAGAAAAAAAAAATGTTCAGCAGTGTCTGCCAACTGTCATGGCAGCTTTTCTGAAATTTCCCTAGCTTTTTCAAGTTTGTCCCATTCAGGACTGACTGTTGCCAGTTAAGTCATTCCGTACGGGGGGCTTTAGCTTTGCTTCATGGAGCAATGGTGTAACTGTACTGCAGGTAGGCTAGAAGACTGGAGGATATAGGTCTAGACGAAAGACCTAGAAGGGCAGGTGACAGAATGAAGTCACCCTAACTATAGAAAGAATGGTTGCTTTATTCCACTGGGATTGTGGGATTGTGGACAGCTTCTGGGTGTTCAGCGCTGGCTGTTAGCTACATGAAGTCACCTCTTCAGAATCCATGCTCCTCCCGTTGGTCCCTATGCTTTCACCTGGAGTGAGCCGTCTGCTTCCACCTAGGAAGAACTCAAGAGAGCAGTTTCCTTGGGCAAGGATCCTTCACCAATTAATTGCCTTTCTCTAATCTGTCTCAGTGTGGTGCCTTAGCGGTTTCTCTTGGGTCCCTTCCTACCACACATGGAGCACTATCTCCCTAGTCGATTGTGCTAGGTGCCGGAGCAGCCCTCAGCTGCCTACATCAAGCCACGTCTAGTCTTAAGGGCTATGTTTCTAAAAGGAGCGGGAGGGAAGGGAACGTGCAGAGTAAGATGCAAATGCTTTAATTACACTCTGATCTCCCCAGTCTTTGTTAGAAAGCTTGCACACTGAGCTTGAAAGGCCTTCTCTCAGAAGGCTTGAGAAGTCCGGACAAGCTTAACTAACACCCGAGGAAACTGATGAACCTTCCTTGCTGTTCTCCTTACTGAGTGTGTCTGTTTATCACTAATCATCAGTCATTTTTAAGGAAAATATTCAATTTTCCAATTATATTCAATCAGTAGTGATTCCGCGGTTTTAAATTTACATTTTCCCCCTCTGGAAGCAAATGTGTTAAAAGTGAATTCCGAATCAGTTTTGGCGATAACAGACTGGCTGTGGGGTGGCCTGAAAAGGCATTATGAGCCTGAGTTGCAAATACTGGTTTAAACTGTATCAAGAATATTGTATTTCATCAGATCTAACCCCTGGGGCTGGGGGTGTGGTTCCTTCGCTAGAATGCTCGCACTGTAGCACATAGGCCTGGGTTCTGACTCCTGTACCACACACTGGGCACGGCAGTGCGCGCCTAGAATTCCAGCACTCCAGGAACAACAGGAACAGAAGCTCAGGGTCATTCTCAGAAACCACCTCTAGCTACAGGAGATCCTATCCTAAAATAGAGAGCCCGTAGTACAACCTCCACCCCACCCGGGTCCCTGTGTCACGTCTGTAAGGACTGACCGCCATTGTACACAGCTGTAACCCGCTCATTGCAGGGCCTACTCCTTCCCTGCTCCTCTCTTCCCTACCCACTCACTAACAGACTTCTCAGTAAACTTCCTACTTGCAGCCTCTGCTGCGTGTTTTTTGTTTGTTTGTTTGTTTGTTTTTAAGAGAACTAACTAACATGTAAAAACTTGTCAAAATCACCTAGTATAACTGTCTCCTCCATCACAACATTCTGGGCCGGGGACATAGCTCAATGGTTAAGTACTTGCCTGGCAAGCATGAACCCCAGAGTCTAAATCCCCAGAACTCAGAACCCACATAAAGCCCGGCATGGTAACTGTGCCTCTAATCCTAGCATTTCTACAGCAAGGAGAGAGGCAGAGATCAGAGAATCCACAGAAGTCCATGCCCTCTAGGCTGGGGCTTACAACAAGAGACCCACATCACAAACAAGATGGGAAGTGAGAATCAGTACTCAAAGTTGTCTTCTGACTTGTGTTACACACACACACACACACACACACACATACACACACACACACACACACACACGCACGTACACACACACGCACACGCACAGTCTTAGTTTCTTCTCTTATTGCTGTGGTGGTAAAAGGCTATTTAAGGGAGAAAAGGTTTATTCTGTTGTTCTGACTCAAGAGTTCAGAGGTAGAGTCCATGGTGGGGAGGTCAAGGCAGCTGGAGTTAAAGCAACTGGTTACACTGCTAGGAAATGCGGTTGCTTACTGACCTTCCTCCATATATGGAGTCCAGGCTCCCATCCAGGGAGTGGTGCCACCCACAGTAGGTGGGGTCTTCCAACCAAGTACAAGATACTAAGATAATACCCCGTAGGCAATCCATCTCCCAGATGCTTATAAAAGTATATTGAGGGGACAGCACTGTCACCTCCAGAGAGAGGGAAATTTGAAAGACAACATCCGCCTCCTTAATTTGTGCTGTGTTGATATTCCTCATCAATTCAAAGACTTTGTATTAACGGAGAAAGAATTTAAATACAAAGTTGTTCATTTTCTAATTTGAATGGACAGAAGTTGCTTTGAAGCCAGAATCCGTAACGTCTGGTGAGCTGGAGTTCTCCTGCATTTCAGTGTTTCAGTCCTCTGAAGACAGCAAGTTCTACCAGCCCAGTCTGACATGGCTTCCAGCAGTGGCCTTCCGCAGCTTGGCTGTGTAACACAGACGCCCCTCTGCAGAGTGATTCCCCCCCCCAAGGGCCCGGCGTTCCCTTGGCTGATTCATGAAGCTCTGGCCTACACTGGCATTATGGCCCGGCAATGTTAGTTACTGGCGCTGAGTTCCAGCTCTTTCGCTCCGGACTGTTTTCACTTCGGCTTTCAGGCGGCAAAGCATTCGTAAGCCACCATCTTGCCTCACCAGAAAACAAAAACGAAAACAAAAAAAAAAAAAAAAGCAAAGCAATAGAAAAAAAAAACTTTTCCCAGCATCTTTTCACTGAGACACTCAGTAAAATTGATTTCCATGTCTTCATCAAATAGGATAATTATTTCTAAAAGTTAGGATAGCCTGCCTTCCTGGATACATAGAAGTCCGCCAGTCCCTGCTCAGGCACTTGTGAACACACCTAATGGGAGTAACCCTGTGACTGGTACTTAATTTGCTATCTCTCAGCAGAGGCAAGAACTGGCTTGCATTGGTCCCAGCTGAATATGTGACAGCTGGCAGAGGATTTATCTGGATAATAGTTGTGCCCGTTTATTCATACCGGTGATACCTCATCCTGATCCACAGAACATAAGAGCTGGTGGGACTTCTGCTTTCTTCACGGTTTTCTTTTACGTCTCAGGCCCCACCCTTTCCACATCAGCAATCTGAATCTGAGAGCAGTGTTTGGCTCCCATTTCTGCTTCCAACTCCCCAGACTTAATCCCTCTTTCCAAGCGCGCTCTTTAATGTGTCTGTGTTACCTGGGTTTTTGTTTTCTGTCTTTGAGACCAGAGCAATCTCAAGCTGACAGCCTTAGTGGCATTACAGCTTGAGGTAGACTCTTGCAAATCTCCATGGATCGACTACCCAATTCCTGTCTGCACAGCAATGCTTCCTCCGAGTTTGCCTCATTCTGCTGTTTATTGACCTGCTTGGCCCAACCCCAAGTTATAATCAGTTAGGGTAAAGATTCTCTTCCATCTGCAAGTTCAAGCTACAGTCACTATGGACAGTCTCCGCGTCCTGCTGTCTGCTAGTAGCTCATTTTGCAGCACATTTGGCCCCTAATCAAATAAGCCCTTGCACAACATGCCCAGAGGCCAAGTACCATCAGAACAGACTACTGGAATGATCTGCCCAAGATGTGACTGCACCCACTGCTGAGAAATGGCTAGAATGGGAATCCATCATGTAGGCTCAGGAAACCTGCTGTACCCAGCTTCCCAGTCCTGATAAGACAACATTTATACTTTTGTTTGGAGAGTTTGTTATTAGCTCATATTAATTATACAAGAAACAAGGACACGTAATAGCATTTCCAGCCGTGCCTACAAGTGCATTTAGATTTTGGCATGGGGTCTTTCGTTATATGAAAGTAAAAAGTGTCCTCCCCATTATCCTGACTTGTAAATTATTTCTAATTTACATGGAGCCTCAAAAACGTGTAAATAGCTAGACTGCTGAAAGACCTTTGCACTGTGGCAACCTTCCCTTGGCCTTCTTGTATTCTCACTGCAAACCCATGTTGAGGGCACTGCCCATTTTAAGGGATCTCAGGGCTCACAATTAGGAAATCTAGACTTGAGGTCAGTGTCCTGCTCTCCCCAACTTGCGTGCTTGACTATTGTCTTAGTTGGCATCTCTATGGCTGTGATGAAACACCATGACCAAAAACAAACTAGGTAGGAAAGGATTTGTTTGGCTTACACTTGTACATCGCTGTCCATCACTGGCGAAAGTCGGAGTAGGAGCGCAAGCAGGGAAAGGGAGGCAGGAGCCGATGCAGGGGCCATGGAGGGGTGCTGTTTACTGGCGTGCCCCTCATGACTTGCTCAGGCTGCTTTGAGAACCCACTGTGAACTGGGTCTTCCCACTTTAGTCACTAATTAAGGAAATGCTCTCCCAACATTGCCTCCAACCTGATTTTATGGGGGCGGCTTCTCAATTCCCTCCTCTCATATGACTTTAACTTATATCAAGTAGACGTAAACTAGCCAACATAATATTGTGCCTGTTGCCCAATGAGAACTTTCAGAAGGAAAAAGAATGACTGGGTACAAACTCTGAAGAAAGGTGACTATGTGTTGGCTATATCCAATGGCAACTCTTTATCTCTCTTCATTTTCTAATTTTTTTTTGTGGGGGGGGGGGATGGTTGGCTGGTTGAACAGATGGCTAGATAAGCAGATAGTTGGATTTTTGTTGTCTGGTTCACAGAGTATCATTAGGTAGCTCAGACTGGCCTCAAACTCACAATTCCCCTTCCTCCGCCTCCTACATGCTAAGACTAGAGGCTTGCGCCACTATGTCCATTTGCCAGCTCTTCACCAAATAAGCAAATTCATGGAACCTTCCATGGGCAGAAAGGATAGCCAATCACTGTGCCTGGCCGGCTCAGCTGGTCAGCACCCGAGAGCATGAAGGGAATAACCAAGAAAAGGCTTTGTGACGAATGTAGTTTTAAAGAACTATCTGGAAAGTGGGTTCCATTATATTCCAGAGTACCTCACCTGTTTCTTTTTTAAATGCTGACCGTTTTTCCCTTTTACAAATAAATTTTGGCTTAGTCCATGCATCTAATACTTGGCTGCTTTTAATAGCCCTTCCTAATTAAAATTTTAAAAAAAGGAGAAAAGTAATAGGAATTGGATGTTGCCTTTAGGGTTCTCCCTCAATTTGGTCTTATTGTGTAATATTTGGAATTTAATTGAAGAATCTTTTTAAGCTTATTATTTCATTTTCCAGAATCACTGCTGTCTTCTTCTGCCCTCTGTCCCTGATACGAAAATCCAATGGCCTCGTTGTCACTATCTGCTTGAGCACTAGGTAGTGTCCCTGCTTGCTCATGAGCCATTGAGGCTGCTACATGCCCTCTCTTCCATCTATTGTGAGCTCCATTTTTAAAGCATAATTTTTTTCAAACCCCTTTTCTAGCTAATGAAAGTTTCTCTCAGCTAACATGAAAAGATATGTAATGTCTGGGTGGGATAAAGTATGATTAAACATGTAAGAAGAAAGAGTAGTGTAAATGAAGACTATGTGTTCAGTTCCTAGTCACCCAGGCCCGAATAATCACAAAGAAATTATATTAATTATAACACTGTTGGTCCAATGGCTCAGGCATATTTCTAGCTAGCTCTTACATCTTAAATTAACCCACTTTTATTAATGTGTGTGTCGCCACAAGACTGTGACTTGCCAGTAAGGTTCTGGAGTCTTTCTTCTTTGGCAACTACATGGCTCTTCCTGAATCCGCTTTTTTTCTCCCTGCATTCAGTTTAGTTTTCCCGCCTAGCTCTATTATGCCCTACCATAGGCCAAAGTAGCTTCTTTATTAATCCGTGGTAATAAAACATATTCACAGCATACAGAGGGTACTCCCACATCAGAGTAGCCAAAGAATGACTTAGTTAGTAAAGTACTTGCTTTGCAAGCATGAGGACCTGAGTTCAATCCCCAACATTCCCACAAAAAGCCAGGCTCAACAGCATGCACCTGTAATCCCAACATTACAGGTAGAGACAAGAGGATCCCTGGTGTTGTATAGCCAGTCAATCTAGCCTAATTGATCAATTTCAGGCAAATGAGAGATTTTGTCTCAAAGAAGGTGACTACCTTCATAAGATTAACATTTGAGGCTATTCTCCAGCCTTCATACATATAAATTCACACATACATGAACACACATGTACATGTTTGTAAAAGAAAGGCAGAATTGTGATTTATAAGAGAAAACAAATGTTAATAGAAATTACAATGAGAAATTAAGGGTAACTTTGTCTTGCTTATATTTTCTGCCTTTCACTATTACTCTTATAATATTGTGATTTTTAATGTCAATCTTTGCTTTTTTGTATAAATAGCTTTAGTGGTTAATTGTCTGGCTGCTTTAGGCAACAAAAGCAATTTAACACAGAAAGAACTTTTTTAAGCTCATAGTCGGAGGTTATAGTCATCATGGTTGGGACAGCATAGTGGATGAAACTTGGAATTGTTAGCTGTTTATGTCCACAAACATGATTCAGAGAGAAATGAATGCTTTCTCCTGTTTGTTCGACCTGTTTCCATGGTAACACACATACCGAGAGTGGGGCTCCCTCCTCAGTTAAGACCTCTGAAAACACCCTAGCAGATATGCTCAAAGATGTTTCTCATAGGTGGCTCTCAATCTGTCAGTAGACAGTGAACCATCGTAAGTTCAGTTTGAGAGCTCAACTTGGTACTCAACTGTACTTTAATCCGCAACATTCTCCCCTTATCTTCTGAGAGGGCTCTCGTGGCCATTTCACAATGGAAAATGGTTAATTTATCTCCAAGAATCTGTCCCTAAGTTGTAACAATTCTAGTTTTGTTCAAAAGCATAGGTCCAAAATTTTGAGACTTAAAGCAATCTTTTAACCATCATCTTCTCCATAATCAAAATTCCATGTTATATACCTCCAATATATAGGGATATAGAGTAAATGTTTCCATTCCAAAAGGGAGGAATGGGAGAACTTAGCAAGGAAAGACTTCTCAAACAAACCAAAACCCACAGGAAAGAAAAACAAAAAACCCTATAACTCCATGCCTGGCATCTAGGGTTTTCAGTGGCACAATCTGGGATTCAAAAGCTTTAAATAACCCTGCTTCTCCAGTTTTGTAAACTGCAGCACATATATCCTCACCTTGGGCTGTTTCACATAAAGCCCACTGTTATCCTCAAAAGATGGCCAACAGTGTTGGCAGCTCCAACATCATGGTATCTCCATTGCAATTTAGATTTCGCAAGGGCCTCTCAGAGCCTCCTGGTATGGAATTCAACTCTGCCCAACACTGCTAGCCCCAGCCACGTTTTCTAGAATCTTGATATAAGACTTAATTACCCAGAATTTCTTGTGGTTTTGCATGCCTGCAAAACTACCACTATGTGGGCAACACTGCCAAGTTCTACTGCCAGCTCAGAAGTAGTCTAGTTCCCCTCTGCCAGTGGCTAACAGCGTGTGGATAACTCCCAAGGATTCTCACCACAATAGAATACCACTTGCTGTTAGACAGAGGCTGCTTATTTGTTCCCTACCGCCCAGACCCGAAATAATCACACAGAAACTGTATTAACTAAAACACTGCTTGGCCTATTAGCTCAGACTTCTTATTACCTAACTCTTACATCTTAAATTAACCCATTCCTATTATTTTGTATTTTACTATGAGGCTTGTGGTTTACCAGTAATGTTCCAGGGCATCTGTCTCCCTCAGCAGCTACATGGTATCTTCTCAACTCTGCTTAATCTCTCTCCATCTCTGTTTGGATTTTCTGCCTGACTTTACTCTGTTACAGCATTGACCAAAAGCAGCTTCCTTATTAACCAATGGCAATAAAACATATTCACAGCATACAGAGGGGAATCCCACATCAACTCGTGATGCTAGGGCTATGCTGGTTAGCTTGACTGCGGTAGTCATTCACAATCCATACACAAAACAGCACATTCATTCATCTTAAATATATGATGTTTTGATTTGACACCAATGCATCAGTAAAGTTAAAAATTATGAGCCAAAGAAAAATAAAAATAAAGAGACCTTCTGAAAAAAAAAAATAGCAAACAGTAGTAAATTCACTGACATAACAAAATGGAAGGGGGCTTTCACGTTTTTACAGACATTTTCCCGTCACTAGCGTCATTGGAAGTTCACTACACTCCACTTCTTCAGTCCCATGGGACTTAACTGGAAAGACAGAGAGTTGATATATTTGATTAAAGCTGAAGCTTTTGGAGTCCAGCACACTTTCTTGACCAGTGGTTTACAGTCCCAGTTGACACTAAGGACAGTCCCAGATAGAGACACTTGCATTGTAAGGGCTGTGCAGAACTGAATAGTCTCTCCCCTCCGGGACTCCCTGCTAGCATTATAGTGTAAAGTGAGCATAGTCTAGCCATAGTTCAATAAAATTTTATTTACAGGAATAAATAGTGGGCTGGACGTAGCTTGTGATCTTTGATTCGTCTTGTCTTTACTCTAGAACAATGTTTCTCAACCTGTGGGTCACAACCCCCTTGGGGATCAAACTACCTTTTGACAGGGATTGTCAAAGACTATTGGAAAAAACAGATATTTACATTATGATTCATAATAGTAGCAAAGTTACAATTATAAAGTACCAATGAAAATAATTTTGTAGTTGGAAAGGTCACCACAATATGTGTTAAAGAGTCACACAATGTAAATATCTGTGCTTTCTGGTGCTCTTAGGGACCCCTGTGAAAGGTTGGTCAGCCCCCAATGGGGTCATGACCCACAGCTCAGGAGCCATTGCTCTCGATCAAAAGTGGCAATGCTAGAAATGAGTGCAGACTTTTCCAAAACCAAATGTGCAAGCATTTCTCTTGAGGCAAGATATATAGCCATATGTCATAATTTTTAAATTTGCTATCAAAAACACAAGCTCCTATTTCTTTTGAAACCTTGTCCTATCTGAGTCTACAGTCTAATATAAAATCCCTGATAATAACTTTATTGACTTTTCACCCTCTTCTTGACCATCCAGGCCCTGGAAAGTCACTGCCGAGTCAATGGAGGCTACTCGGGCCTACGGGATGTTTACCTTGCTAATGAGAGTTATGACGACGTTCAACAAAGTTTCTTCCTGGCAGAGACTCTAAAGTAAGTACAGTTCTTCTCAGATTGTGCCGAGGTCCCGAAGGAGATCTCTACAGATGTCTTCACCATGAGCACATTTATCATACACCGATTATGACCGATGTGTGTAATCTCCATCCCAGTTGAGGTGCCTTGACATCACAGTCTAGGTGTGTAGTTGTCTCTGGTCGTTGCTGGGGCTGATGCCCTGGAGTGTTTCTGTGTGGGTCTCACGCACTGGCACCCGGAGCATGAATGACGCCATGTTGAGGACTGTGTGCGTGAGAATTATCTGCTGTCAGTGGGTCTCCACAAGATTACAGAGACATAGGTTGCTTTGTGACATGGTTGGTTACTTGAGCCTCATCATCTCTCTTTTTTTTTTCTCTCTCTCTCTCTCTCCAGGTATTTGTACTTGATATTTTCTGATGATGACCTTCTTCCGCTAGAACACTGGATATTCAATACCGAGGCACACCCTTTCCCTGTCCTCCGAGAAGAGAAGAAGGAAATTGAAGTCAAAGAGAAATAAAAGACATTTTCTATTTTCCTCTGCTTCGTTCCCTCGCTGCATACCTTAATAATTCCTTCCCTGGTCATCAGATACATGATGAACTTTTACTGATCGATAAAAGTCTATGATTATCCTAAGTTCTGAAATTGTTTTGCAGTCTTTTATGTTTATTATCATAAGCCTAAGTGGACCTCAACTCCTTACTTCTTTATTATACAGCTAGTAGGTCCCCTGATTTTGTTTGTCTTTTTTTTTTTTTAAGGAATCTATTGTTTCTGGAGTTCATGAAGTTGTGACCTCATTTTCATGAAACAGAGTAGAACCGTCTACCAGTGACCTTAATTATGATTTGATTTGACTGCAAAACTTCTTCCTCCTCTATGAGGAGATGGTGTCTGCTTTAAGCTGTAATGTTTTGCCATGTTGCAAAAAGCCATAATAATAAATTAAGTATTAAAAAGCTTTTTTTTTCCTTTTCAAGTTCATGTTAATCTGGTTTGTCTAGCCACCAGAGACAGATCTCATAACTGTGACAGCCTCTTAGAGGTCTATTGTTATTTGATAGGATGTCTTCTAAGTCCTCCACTCACATCCCATTCAAATGAGGAAGTCGTCCCAGAAGAGCCAGCCAGGCTGACCTCGTTTCATCAAATGAAGCGCGGTGTGTCTTCAGTTTTGATTATGTTCGTGTTTCCACACTTTTGAATTTCTTCTCTCCTTCTGCTTTAAATGCCCTGTGGCGTCTCTATATCATGTACCGCTTAATTTCCTCCATTCCCCACTACACAGCAAGGTGAGCCCTTGAGTTCTGCAGAGCGCCCCTGTTACTGAATTACAGTTTTGAAAGGGAAATGATGCAACTTTTTTAACCTGCCAGGTTTTGCTTTTAACTGAACCCAGTCCGTCCTGGAATCTGGTCCCTAACGAGAGGCTGAGGAGTCCATATGACTAGGTCATGTATTTGCATTGCATCTGTGGTTTTTTTTTTTTAAGGAAAGGAAACGTTGCACGTGGTTCCAATTTGAAAAGGGCTCTTCCCAGATGTGGTTAATGACTTCACTTGTTTGTGAAAAGGAGCTTTTACCCAGTGAAAGAAACATTACCAATTTATCTATTCGTGTTCAACTAGGGAAAATCAGATTTGCTCTTAAGAACACAGTATGCTTCGTGTGGTTACATTCAGCATAAAGATCTTAACTTAGAAGAAATGTATAGGAATGGACACACATCTTTATAATTTGATCTGTAGCCGATCAAAATGATTCTTCTAAACCTTATTTTGAAATATGAATGATTTTCCCAAGAACAGATTTGGTGACAACTTGCATAACCACACCTGCTCTTATGTATGCACTAAGGGATAAAGTCTCTAACCACATCGATGTGATTATGTATGGAACAAAGATTCTAACCACCTCAACTTCAACCCACTATGGTCAACAACAACAAAACAAATAGTATAACCCATGGATCAGGCTGAAGTGTAGATTTCTGTGCATTTATATTCTTCAGACTTTCTCGTTTTGTCAGTTTCATGTTGTTTGACGTATTTTTTTGAGACAGTTATTTTGTTAAATCTCAGTAAACAATAGTTTTATTCATTTCAGCTTTCAGGAGGGTTTCAAACTATGTCACGTAGGATCACCACCTTGTGTAGCCTGGTTGTTTCCAGTGTTGTACATTAGAATACATCAAAATACATAAACGTGTGAAATTAGTAAATGGAAAAAAGTCTCTCAGCATACCTGGGTAACTTCCTCCTGTAATCTGTTTAATCCATGGAGTTCATGAATCATGACATCATGTTCATGAATCTAAGTAGAACAGCTTGCCTTGACCCCTTAATTACACCTTGATTTGACTGTAAAATTTTTCTCTTCTCTAGGAAGAATAAGTGAATAACAAACCTTTCTTTCCTCAGAACTCTGATGTTAAATATTGACATTTGCTGCCAAAACATGTGGCCAAATGTATTTCTATTTTAATTTTCATTCTCTTTGGATGAACTGTTTAATTCATTTTCTTTGCATTTCGATTTGAGGGAGCACAGAAAGCCGGTGAGTACTCGGCAGCAGGTGACGTTTTAAAGTCAGGCTCTGGGTGCCGACTACACTGTAGTGTGCCTTTTGTGTCCCAGAATAAGCAGGCAGGAAGCTGAACCACAATGTTGCTCTCCAATGGCAAGAATCATTTTTTTCAGTTTTAAAACTTGGACTTTTTTTTAAATACCAGAACACCAAAAATGTAAACAAGATAAGAGATTAATATTATAGTATTGTAACTAAATTAAGCTTATATTTTGTGTTAATTTTAAACAACTGAAGTCTCCAATAGACACCAACTCATTCACTTTCAACAAAACTGTTCAATTTAATTTACATGTGTAATCCACATCCTTAAAGACCAACAGTTAAAATAGCGCCTACTTTTGTGTTTGTGGAATATGTTTTGATATAGTTTGTGCAGTTAATATTATAAACATTAAGTTGAATGCCAATTTATAGAACCCAATGACCTCTATCAGGATATTTTCCATGTGTATCATCCATTTTTACATTGATCGTTTTTGATTTGTTCTAAGTGCATTCTGTCATTTCCAACTTTATATAAATCTCTGATGTTATGGGAAACAATAGATGGACACATAATTTTTAAAAATTATATTTGTAAAATTTCTCTATTGTGAATAAAGTCTTTTACTATATCTTCTCCTGTGCCATATTTTTCTGACTTTAAGGATGCTTCTGTATGTGTACATAGGTGTGTATGGTTACACATGGAAATAACAAATCCTACTAACAATTACATACCTTGCCAAGGGAACCGTTCCCATTAAAAACTTTATATTGAGAATGATTTGGTAGACACAGCCTTTGGCAAATTGTGTTCTCTTACTAGGAATCCAAACTAAGCTCAGCTCCAGGGCATACAAGGGAAAGAACAAACTGACGTCAGAAAAGGCACAGAGGGTGCCGTGTGTGTTCTTAAGTTTGTGACCTGGTCAAAAGATCAAACTAGCCTCACTCCAGTCACCCTAAAACAAAATGGCATTTAGTTGTGATCATTATAGGTTAAATTCTTAATCGTCCTTAAATTGGGAGAGGGAGGCAGGATCTCAGAGAAGCTGAGTAAAAAAGAGAATTCAGCTGTTCATGGGAAAACCTAGGTTTGGAATTTTATGTGGTGCTTTTGTCAGATAATGTTCCACCCCTCTGTTGGAACAGAATCAAAAGAATGACCCATGGTGCACGATGCCGTGGGCGACTGTGAGAGAGACTCCAGGAAAAGGCAGAACCTTTTTTACCTCAGGTGCGTTTTGTTTCCTGGATTGTTCTTGGATGTGATTTCTTGCCTCCTGTGACAAAGATTTACATTTAACTTATAAGACATGTTTATTCTTGCTGGATGTCAGGATATAGCTATAGAGCCTGAATCTGGATATGGCCTTCTGCCTTGTTCGCCTTCCCACCTGTAACCTGTCATACATGCCAGGCAACTGTGTTTAGATTGGCCTGCCCTGAGAATGTTCCAGGAAAGGGCTGCTCTGTTGATATTCAGTATGTGCTTGCTGGCCTTTATTTACCTGTTTTTTCTGATCATGACTTTCCGAACTCAAGCAACCTTCCTTGGATCCTTGCTTTCTTTGTTTCATTCATGCATAAAAGTCCAGTGAGGCTGAAGTAAGACTGTGTACAGCATTAGATTGCCGTCTGCCCATTCTTTCAGGTCCTCAGATCCCAGGTTCCGCAGACAAGAGCTGCACTGGCTGGTGAAAGCTGCCACCCCTCTGTCCCACGGAACTCTTCACTGTGTAATGTTTCCCTTACCGTCTTCGCATTTCTACTCCACTCCCATCGCATTGGACAAGCTGTTATCGCATTCCCATCAGCCTTTGTTCTTTACTCTTATTTTTTTAAACCTATTACATATTCATGTGACTGGATCTCACACAGAAAACAATTAATATAATAATTTTAATAGCATCAAACACAGTTGAGCTCGAACATAGTCAAATGGGAGCCTTTTGAGTTCATTTATTTGTAACATACACAGCATCAGTTGTGTTTGCATTGATGGTGGCAGATTTATTAAAATTTGTTCTAAACATGATTTTTACTTATTCTGCTATCTATGCAGAAATGGCATCTTGGCAGTACATCTACTTTCTAAAAATGAGATGTATGCTTACAATTTTTAATAAAAGTAAGCAAGATAAATCTTTTCATTTAGGCATAGAGTTTGTATGTCTAATTGTCGTTCTCGCTTCCTAGATGATACCTGAAAGTAAGGGTCATATAGGGAACATCATTGGAACTCCTTAACTGATTTAATGGTCCAAAGGTCAATATCCATTTTTCCCAAGGTCACCAGCCACACTATCCAATAAGTAAGTCACTCAGGAAATATTTGCCAGAACTCATGTGCATTTAAAGTATTAGAACAACATGAAAGTCTCGACAGAGTTTCATCCAACTTTGTTATATTAAAGATGAGGATTTGCGGAGGGTTTTTCACTATCAGGAACCATTTTTTATCCTACGCTGTGCTACCAGACATAAGGGGGTGGTAAGGTTTAATGCTAAAGAGAAAAACAACGGATGAGCATCCTATCAGCCACTCCAAAAATGAAAGTGTTGATTCAGAGTTCACACTAGATACGTCCCTCAAGACGTGGGCTACAGTCCACCTATAGCTGCATCTCATAGAAAATGCAGACTCCCTGGTCCTCATCCACTTTCAACAAGATTGCAATGACCTAGAATATCTGCTTTCAACTGACTCTTTATGTCACCCCTTTGCATAAACACCCTCAAGGATAGGAAGCCAAAGAATGATGGAAATCCCAAGAAGCTTGTGATTTATGACAAGCACAAAGATCTGGTGCTTGATACTTTGGTACACTTTGACAATTCTGATCACTTTGGAAACATTCATTCTTTCTACAAAAGCGTTTCTGAGCAAAGAGTGGTGAATCTAAAACTTTTAAACAGAGTCACACTCAATTTTTAAACATAATTCTTCGTAGGGGAAATCTGTATAAATTATTAACCTGTTACCCCTGGTTTTATGAAGTGACCATTTTGTTAGCTTTTTTTCTCCAATAGCTGCTTTCTAAGTCATTTCTCAAATTGTTACTCTGTTCTTGATTTTAACACGACTCATTCTCACAGGATCCATGGGACTCCTGAGTTACCTTTGCATAATGTCCTGTGTGAAGCGTCTGTGGGTACGAACACTGAAGAGCACCTTCATTTCCTGCCACCTTCACCTTGCCAGGTTCTTTTAAATTCATTTCCAGGCTGATCCTCAAAAGATTTGTTGGCCTGTCATTATTTTGATCACTTTGAATCTCCTTAAAATATGTCATTACCTGCTGAATAAATTAGCTTAAATTTGTGTCACAGATCCCTTTAATTCCCCAGCAAATGAAAATGGCCATGAAACATTTGAAAACAGTGATAGATGTATAACTTATAAAAAGACTTTTTCACATCCTGGGATATGTTGTCCTTAGGCTATGAGCACATTATTAATTCACAGTTTGAGAAACAGAGCCATAGAATGTACTATGTTGCAAATAGCATTTTCCAAAACAGCTGGCACCTCTTAGTGCAGTTTCTAAACTCCTAGGAGAAACAAACACTTCATTCATGGATTCTGTGGGATCTTTATTCTTGATCTTGCAAACCTTAAACGTCTCTATGGAAGACAGAAAAAGCATGACTTGGCATCACCTTTTGGAGCCAGCTCCTTGAGGCAGGCAGGTTCCGTTTCAAGGATGGCATGGTTCTGGTTGGTTATAATTCAATGGCACACTTAGTAAGGGGCCAAAGGAGAAACAAGCTGACTCTTTCTTACTTAGATGCACTTCTCAAAGTGATTCCAAGTAGCACCTCAGCATCCATGTTAAAGGAGCCCCAAGAGCATTTCTTCTCATCATTTTCCTTTTCCATCTTGCAGCTGCCTACTTGATAACTTCATGATTGACAAAGTCTTTGCCAGGAGCTACAAAAAACAGACATCTTAAAGACCCCCAATTAAAAAAAAACATATTAGATCCCTCTAGTCTCTTTTCTATGTGCAATATAGTATAAAAGAGAGAGAAAGTAGGTACATTTGGGACGGTGGAAAACCAATTTCACAAGTATTAAGACAACTGGATCCCAAACTGAGATCCATTCTAAACAGACTGTGTGACTTGGAATGAGCATTTCAAGTTCATATCTCAGTCTCTTTGTTAAATAAAGATGTAGTGAGTCAGGTATAGCTGCTAGGCTGGGTACTCATACAAGAAACAGCACACACGCACCACGTCTACTGCCCTAGAATATTATATAAAGATGGTACATTAGTTTATGCTGTAGAATATCTGTTTAATGATGCTAAAATGTGTTGCATTCTTTTATATTGCACTTGTTTACATCTGTGAAGGTGTGCTGCTTTGCCTGTCTCAATCACCTGATTGGTCTAATAAAGAGCTGAACAGCCAATAATAAGGCAGGAGAAAGGATAGACAGGAGAATAAATTGGAGGAAAAATCTGGGAAGACAGGAGATTAAGGAGCGAGAAAAGCAGAAGGAGAGGAGGACATCAGGGGCCAGCCACCCAACTACATGGCAAGTCACGGTATAAGAAGTAAAGAAAGGTATATAGAATATAGAAAGATAAAAGCCTAGAGGCAAAAGATAGATGGGATAATTTAAGTTAAGAAAACCTGGCTAGAAGCCAAGCTAAGGTTAGGCATTTATAAGAAAGAATAAATTTCCATGTGATTATTTGGGAGCTGGGTGGCCCCCAAAAAGCAAAAGGCAAAGTGATAACAACAACAATAACCACCAACATCTACCCATGTGCTAGAGACTGCTATCCCTAAAATACAAACTATCATAAGACTTAGAGAAAAGACAGCATCTTCAACAAACTGCATAACTACATGTACCGGAATGAATCCAGATCCTCCTTTCTCGCCCTGTACCCAACTCAACTCCAAGTGGATAAAAAACTCAACATAAGACTTGATCTCCTGAATTTGACAAAAAAAAAAGTAGGGAGTGCATTTGAAATTGCTGGCAGACAAAAGGACTTTCTCAACGGGAACCAATAAAGCAGGCATTAAAACCAACAACTGACAAATGGGACCTCATGAAGATCAAAGGCTTCTGTACAACAAAGGACACCCTCATTTGATTGAAGAGGCACCCCAAAGAATGGGGAAACTTTTACCAGTTACATATCTGACGAAGAGTTAGTACCTCGAATATATAAACAACTAAAAAACCCAAACAGCAAGAAAACAACTAAAACTTGGGACATAGAAATAAACAACTCTCAAAAACAGAAATACAAATGACTGAAATACTGTTTCAAATGTTCAACATCCTTAGTCACCAGGGAAATAGAAATTAGAAATACTTTGAGATCTCAACTTACCACAATCAAAATACCAAAGACCAAATGACAAATAAAACAAATACCAACAAATATTGGCATTAATGTGGACAAATTTTTCTCACCCTTGGTGGGGGTGCCAAGCTTTCCAATGGTGTGGAAGTCTTCAAAAAGCTGGGAATAAAGCTACCATATGATCCAGTTATAGACATATACCCAAAGGACTCTATATCCTCAGATAGAGATATTGTTTTAGTCACAATAGCTAGGAAACTCCCAATCTTTAATCCACACTAGATGTCCATCAACAGATGCATGGATGATGAACGTATGATACATTTACACCATAGAATATTGTGTGTTAACAAAAGTGAAACAATAAAGTTCACAGGTAAATGGATGACAGTGAACACAGTCATTCTGAACAAGGTAATCAACACCACGTGTCCTTTGTCACTTGCAGACGATAGAGTTGAAATTTTAGATATGTGTGTTTAAATTGAAATACTTATAGAAGTCAAGAAACTAGTAATACATGAGCCCTCTAACCGGTTGCCCAATACAACGTAGTTGGTCCTGAAATCACACAGCAAAAATGGGCTCAGTGGGTTATATTTACATATTTATGCATACATATACAGAAATGTAACAATAGTAACCAAAGAAAAAGTGCTGTCTATTTGAGAGTGGGGGACATGAAAGAAGTTGGAGAAAGGGAACTTAGGGAGGAAAGAGAAGGGAGAAAGTGATGCAATTATATTTTAATTAAAAATGTATATAAAAAAAGAAACTAGCCATTAGGGTAGAAGATAAGATTTCAAGACAAGAAGCAGATGCTATGAAGGGAAAGGGATAGTAATGAAGAGGGAAGTTTAAATGGCGTGCAGAGTTTGAGGGCAGACTAGAGGAGGACGTATGAGGAGAGCTGACTAGCTCTGAAGATCTTTGAAAATACTGTATAGAAATTTAGTACTGCAGAAGTTTCCTGAAATATGTACGTATATAAAAGGAATTTAACGGAAGTTCCCATTCAAAGAGAATGCCTTTCCTAGACACAGACATTATCAGATGTGGGTAACTTCTTTTCAAATTGTTGGTCAATGTGGTGCCATAGACAGCCTCAAGTATCACAGGGTATTGCCAATGCTCCTGCTTTCTCTCCAAAACTTGATGGTAAGATCCTATTGCTGAAGACATAACATACTTGAGTCATTAGACTTGGAGAAATCAAGCTTGCACCAACCTGGAAGCTTCATTCCTAGTGGGTAGCTTTCACAGTGCGAGAAGGTTCGAGGCACTAGGCTCTGTCCACCCCCAAGACTTTGAGGGGAACACACCAAATTGAGGGGGTTAGAAAGAGGAGCTTGGGTAGTCTAGCTGTGTGTCCACATCATGCTAAGGGGAAAACTGAAAGTAATAGAAAACAAACTGAAATCTTATGAGTCCCAGAGAGAGGGATAGGGCCATGAGGAGGCAGTCTGTAGCAAGCAGCCACAGGACTTTGGGACAATTTGAATGGAGGAAGAATGGGAAAAGGATCTCAGGTAAGTTTTACATTGTGTACCATTCTGAGTTGTATAATATAATCTTTCATAGTCCAGGTCCATCTGTATTTAGGGCTTGATACTCATCATCTGTCCTTTCAGGCAGGCATTTGGTATCATAAGGTCATAGTGGTAGTCTGAATGTAATTGGCCCCCATAAGCCCATGGGGAGTTGCACTATTAGGTGTAGCTTTGGTCTTGTGGGATGAAGTCTGTTACTGTGCAGGTGGGCTTTGCGTTCTCATATATGCTCAAGCCACATCCAGTGTCTCAGTTTACTTCCTGTTGCTCGCAGAATCAAGGTGGAGCTCCTTCTCCACTCTCAGCTGCTTCTCCAGCACCATGTCTGCTACATACTGCCATGTCCCACCATGAAAACGGACTAAACCTCTGAAACTGAAAGTCACCCAATTAAATGTTTTCCTATATAAGAGTTGCAGTGGCCATGGATCTCTTCACAGCAAAAGAATCCCTAAGACAGTCACACTCGCAGTTATGGAAAATTACTGCATTTGTTTTTGACTCAGTAGCTTCCTTTTTTTCCCCACACAGGAGGCCCCATGATGATTTGAAGAGTGAACAAATTATTCAGGAATGAAAAGAAACTTCCAATCTTTTGGTCCAAACACAAAACCAATCTTCATCTACACTGTACCTACCATAAGACATATCTCTAAAAAGGGTCTGCTAATTCAGTGTGATATTTCAGGCTGCAACATTGAATACAAACTATTTTCAGTGAATAATCTTATGTTTACCTTAACTTTGAGATACCTAATTATGAGCTGTCATTGGAGGAAAAAAACATTACTGTACTTGCAAAAGCACACTTAACCAAAAATAGGACCGTTTTCCCACTTTTTGAGTGCTCCAAGCATATCAGCTATCTCAGGGAAGACCTTCCAGATTCCAAGCTGTAGTCCACTGCTGTAATTGACTATGGCTTCCCATTGTTACAAAGGCTTGCCAGACATGCTCCACTCCATTAGGGTCTAGCTTGCTCATGGGATAGGGGCGGGGTTCATGCTTGACCACTGTGATAATGACTTCAACAGGCCTTGCCTGACAGAGTAAGTGCTTGAAGGGCGCTATCAGTGATGTAAATAGCAAATGACTTCTATAGAGGGACAGCAACCTTTTTGTAATCCTCTCTAGAAATGGCACAAAGGACTCTAGGGCTGAAGGAAAGCCATTAATAATTATGTTGTTACATTTTTTTGCAAGTAAGTTCTGTTTCCTTTTCTAATGCTGGCCTTTCTTCAGTCATTCTAACCCGTGACACAAATAACTGATTGGAATTTTACCCTCAGCCACCTTATCTTCTTGTCGCCAACCTCTAGAACAGGTGCTAATATAAGTGACTGGAGAACAAAGAGACAGAGGAAAAAAACCAAAGGATTTTGGAGGTATTTATCAGTCCCTATGGAAACCCGAAAGTGACTTTTGTCACTATTATAAATCAATATACAGAATTTCTTTAAACACCAGATAAAAGCCACATAATATGTCAAAACCATGATTAAAAGGTAGATAAACTTAATGAATTTTGACAAGGTCATCAGTTTCTTTGGCTGTTTTAAGAAAGTGGGATAGATTACTTTCTTCTTTATGGCCGCCTTCACACAATGACGACCGCATTAAGAGATGTTTCTAACTTTCCACAGTGTGTATTTGGGCTTTTAACCTCTTCCAAAGATCAGATAAAAACCACAAAACCAAAAAGCATTTTTGGCTCATGTATTCAGCTCATTCTTTAAAGAAGAGCTTCAGCATGTCCGGGCAGGAGCAGAGACGTCTTCAACATTTTTATCTATTGATTAAGTGTAGAGGGCATTCTGTTTGAAATGAAACCTGAATACCTGTTAAAGTAAATGTTCTGTTCTGCTTTGAGGTAAAGGGCATGAAGGGAAAATGAAACTCAGTCACCCCTCCCCTCAACCTGGAAATATAATTAAATATTTTCACCCATGAGTGGAAGCAGGCAGGGGAAAAAATCCACTTAACAATAAGCTATATGTACTTTTTTCTCCTGAGATGAAAAACCAAAACCAAGTGCCAATTCACACTGCCCTGGGCAAAAGTCATTGGACGGTTCCCTAGTGACCTTTTTGTAAAATACTCCTGGGCCTTGTAACTGAAAAGATGCCAGAGAAATCTTTCTTTCTCTGTGACTCTTGAGATGACACATATATAAAAGTGCCTAGACAGAATTTGAAGAAGTGTGCCGCACAGTTTAAGGATTTGCCTGAAGTGGGGATTCCTCCAAGATTGTTTATGTTTATGGTCTTTAATAACTCTTACAAGGAAGCCTGAGATTACTCAATCTCAAAAATGAAAGATCCAACTCAGGAAAGTATCCACGGGTGATAAGGGGACAGAAAGGCTACACCAGGAGGTAGAACGAGATAACAGTTCAAAAGTTCTTCCATCAAGCCAATGCTGGACACCACAGGTAGAAGTGGTCTTATCACACACCAGAAATAAAGGCCAGAACATGAATTAATTGAACCTCCAGTTGCCAATGTCCCAGTCGGACTGATACCACGGAGGAAAAAAATGACCCAACAGGGCAGTATCCTTGAAAAAGATAAAGCAGATGCAGGAAAAAGACATGGTGGCTTCTCCCTGTCCCCTGCCTGTAAACTGAGACTGCTCATTTCATTTCCCGGCCACCCAGACCTGAATAATCATACAGAGGCTATATTAATTACAGCACTGCTTGACCAACAGCTTATGTGTGTTTCTAGCTAGCTCTTACATCTTAAATTAACCCATTTCTATTATTCTGTGTATCACCAAAGGCGGTGACTTACCAGGTAAAGTTCTGGCATCTTGTTGGACAGCTATATGGTGTCTCCTTAACTCTGCCTACTTTCCTCTATCTGTAATCGGATTTCCCGCCTGGCTTTGCTCTACTAAGACACTGGCCAAAACAATTTCTTTATTAACCAATGGTAAGAAAACATACTCATAGCATACAGAGGGAAATCCCACATCACCTGCACTGACATCTTCTTCAAGTGCCTTCCATTGGTCAAGAGTACCAGGAGGGCACAACAAAGAAGTCTGGGAAATGTAGTTCCCATCTTGTACAGTTTCAAGTAGAAATGAGAGGAAACAGGCAAATTGTACGAAGCCAGACAGTGTTTACCATGTGGGCCCTCTACTTAGCTTGAGAGGCCTTGAACAAGATAAACAAGCCTCAAGTCCCCAGCTGCTAGAATCTGATAGAGTTGGCAATTTTATTGCTGCGATCTGAGAGTTTTTTCTCAGCTCCCGCAGAAACACTAGACATATTGTTGAGGCAATATCTCTCACATCTTAGCACTCAGCTTCGCAGGGAAAAGGTACATCCGTGCACCTAGGAAAGTTCCAAAAAAAAAAAAAGGATATTTAACAACTGCTTTCAAAGAGCAGGCTTCAGAGAAAGAAATTTATGAGCCCATAAAGCATTTGTTCTCAAGTTAGAAGAACAGATAGAAGTAAAATAAAGCCTACAGACGGCATGGCCATAAAATAACCACCTTCGATACCTGTGATAAAACTTTGATCGCTCTGCTTTGAGTCCCAGCTGATCCTAACTCCCAGTTTTCTCGTGAGTGACGGGAGAGCTTTGCTCTTAGCTTTCCTCTGCCAGACCGGACATATCAGTTTCCAGTCTACTCCGTTGAGCACAGTAACGATGAAAGTTAAATGACCATGCCAGGAAGAGAATATATATTGGTTAAGGACGCTGGCCTTATTAGTTTAATACTATTGAGCAACTTTTTATTTTTATTGAATCATATTTTAAAGGACATTTTGGAATGTTGACTTTATATTCCTAAATGGGGTTAAATGACAAGAACTACTCTTTCAAGACCAGTCCAGTTGTTACACTGGAAGCTTTTTCTGCATTCCTCCCCTCTGTTCTGTTTGCTCACAAGGCAAGCATTTGTAGGTGTGTTTGGTGCATGTATTAGGGTTCTCTAGAGTCACAGAATTTATGGAATTATGGAATTTATTGGAATGACTTACAGAACACAGTCCAGCTAACCCAACAATGGCTAGTTTGAATGGAAAATCCAAGAGTCTCGTAGTTGCTCAGTCCCACGAGGCTGGTTGCCTCTTCTGGCCTTCTGTATATGCTGGAATCCCAAAGAAGTAGGAGCCAACGCCAGTGAAGGAATGGATTGCTGGCAAGTCAAGGGCAAGTAGAAGGAAACTTTGCTTCTTCCATTGACCTTATACTGGCTTCCAGCAGAAGGTGTATCTTCCAGGTGTATCTGGAGCAAAGGCTTGTAGTCTCACTGTCTCCAGTTCAGAATTGCAGGTGTGCCCTCCATTTCTGGACTGTAGTTCATTCTAGATCCAGTCAGGCTGACAGCCAAGAGTAGCCGCCACAGTACACGATGCAACAGTTAGTCGTTGCTAGTCTCTCTCTCCCCTGCTGAAGAGAGAAGCCAGCAAAAGCAGTTTCACTTTACGAATTGGACAACTATATGTTAGTCAGTGCCTCAGATTGCTGAAATCTGAGTAGTATTAGTCCCTATTGCTAAGCTTGATAATTAGGATGCAGAACTGGGTTATTTAATGATACTTCTAGAATATGGAATTTAAGTCCTTTTTGTCCTTTTTCAAGAAATAAAATGAAATTTGGGCATTTCCTAATTTTTTTATACTACTTTGTTTTTATATATATAGGTATATCACAACTGAAATAGCCAACTTAGCACACTGGTTGAGGCAACTGTTCAGGAAAGAAATTAGACAACTTTAAAACACAAAACTTATTTCATGGAGAATAGTATGTAAGTATATTTTCCTTTTATAGAAAAATGGTTATGCCTATTTGTCTTCAACTTTATCTAGATCATGCCCCACAATAAACATCTAGTAAACCAGTAAGGACATAACTTTGTGTTCTTTTTCCTTCTCACTCTTTATCAACAGGTAGCTCCTAGTATCTTAAGCAGTCTATAGATGTGTCTCTGGTTGGCTGCCCAGGGACCTTTATCAACATCTCTAGGTTCTAGATCAGTGGTTCTCAACCTTTTTAATGCCATGACCCTTTAATATAACTCCTGCTGTTGTGATGACCCCCAACCACACAATTGTTTTTGTTGCTACTTCATAATTGTAATGTTATTGCTGTCATCAATTGTAATGTAAATATCTGATATGCAGGATGGTCTTAGGGGCACCTGTGAAAGGAACATTTCACAAATGGGTCATGGCTCACAGGTGGAGAAACACTGTTCTCAAAGAATGCGCTAGTTCAAATGACTCTAAGCTAACACGCTATTTTTCAATATAGGAGATACATGTTGTCCCTTGGCTACTGTTCTCCAAAGCTCCTCTGCTTCCTCCATTTCCAGTTACTCTCATTTCTTTCCTCTTCGACTCCAAACATTCCACATAAAGCTCATTGTACATATAATCCCAATGCCAAGACAGTTATCACTTTATTATTATTTTCTGATCAACTCTAAGAATTTCATCTGGACAACCCTCTTAAGGGCTCTTCATATCTGAGCTGAATATCATTGCAGACGGCTCTTGAGTGCTTCCACAGCTTTGTGACAGGCATCTTTTATGGCCACTCCTAGGAAAGTGTTCACTGGTTATTTCCTGTATATGCTGCAAGAGACGCAAAACCTAATTTGGTATCTAATGAACATTAATGGTCCATAATCAGTTTATAATAAGAAATCAGCTAAACAAACAAGTGCTTGGCTTGCTTAACATGTAATTAATAAAATTATTAATTCTGGTCTGAGTGTAATTAATTTTGACAAGACCTTGGTTGCATTAATAGGAACAAGTTGCTCAGAATAATGGGGAGAAATATCTTCTCTCAGTCACATGACCTGAAGGCCCTCACACCAATTAAATTACATATGTATCCAACAGTATCTCTCCTGCAAAAGTAGATAATGAAATGCTTTTTAAGATGTATCATCTGGCTGAAGCAAGAATAAAGAGGTATTTGGGGAGTATAGTCATGGAAGTTACAGTAGTTGCCATAAAATGAGTTAGTTATCTGCTCCAACATCATCCTGCAGCTTTGCTAGTGGATTTTTTTTAGGGTTTATTTTTTATTATTTTTAATGTGTGTGTCTGTGTGTTTCTATATGTATCTCTAAGTGTCTCTGTGTTTGTGTGTGTTTGTGTGTGTGTACATTTGTGTGTGTGTGTTTCTGTGTATATATGTGTCGTGTGTGTTTGTGTGTGTCTGTGTGTGAGCATGTTGTGTGTGTATGGGTAGCCTCAGAGGACAGAGGAGAACACCGGTTCCACTGGACCTGGAGTTGCAGATACTTGAGATCCATGCAACACGGTGCTAAGAATTCTGTCTTGTCCAGACTTGAGAAGTTCAAAAGAGGCCTGAGTCTCAGTAGTTTACCCTATGGCCATACCTGGTTCCAAGAAAGATCACAAACTGAGACTATCCAGGCGCTACCCAGAAAAACAGATCATCCAAAGGAAATTCCTAGTGCTCCAACCACTGTTGAAAGGCTCACCTGCCAGCACACATCCATCGTTTTTCACCAGGATACCCCTAGAAAAATGTCAGCCAATCAGGGGTCCTGAACCTTAGAAATCCCTCATCCCACTTTTGCTATTATAAAAACCCAACCCCAACTGAGCACAGTGCTCTCTGATCAACCCAATACGTTGGACACTGGGAGAGTCCAAGTTTGCAGACTTGTGTGAGAATAAAGGCTCTTGGTTTTTACGTACAGAACTCAATCTTCCAGTTGGTTTTGGAAGGAATCCACGATCTGGGCACAACAATGTCAGGTCCTCTGCAAGAGTAGCAAACACTCTTAATGACTGCCCCTAACGTTTGAGTTTTAAATGTCAACGTAAACAGTGATATCAGCATGCTCATGCTTAACTTTTTATGACATGTCTTCACATATATTACTTCATTTATTTGTTTTAGTGGGGCGATATATCCTTTATATATGTATGTAGGGTGTGTATATGTTTGAAAATAAGCAACATAATTGTGGTGCACTTCTAAAGTACACCCCAGAGAATTTATAAGGACAGCACATTTCTGTCATGATGTCCTGGTTACTTTCTTATTGCAATGATAAGATATCCTAACAATACAATGATAAAATACCCTAACAATGTGATGATAAAATCCCCTAACAAAGGCAGATTGAGACAGAAAAGGTTGATCTTGGCTTACAGTTCTAGAGGGATCCAGTACACCGTGGTGGGGAAGAAGAAAAGAAGTTCTCTGGGAAGGCATGGTGGTGGGAGCAGGAGGCTAGCTTGTTACATTGCAATCATGCTCAGGGAGCAGATCAGGAACAGGAAGTGGGCCAGGCAATAGAGCTTCCTACTGACCTACTTCTTCCCCAACCTCCTTTTATACTTTCAGGTCACATTCTGTGAGCACCATGAGCCTCCTCCTTAAATATCTAGGACCTTTTATTAGAAACAGGAAGGAAGAGGTGCATGAGTGAAGAAGAAAGCTGCTACTGTGTAGAATACCCAGAGAATTCTCTGCTGACCCAGGGCTAGTATGGGCTGTGGGCCACGGACTGTAAACTTTGGGGAATCTGTACTCAAAATACATATAAGGAGTGGCTAAATCTATCGATTTTTGCCTTTGTAGTAACACATGATGATGATGATGATGATGATGACAATAGTAATAATAATAATAATAATAATAAGCGTGCAGTAGAAACTACATTTCGAATTTTGGAACTTTGATTCTTCCCTGGGTAGGGATGTGTAATATGATACCCTCACATACTGAAGGCTGCAACAGAATGTAGCACGAATAATAAAAACCCAGAGACAGGTATGGGGGTTCAAGCTGAAGAGCAGAAAAGAGCCAAGCCACTAGAGAGTTCTTAACTCTGCTATGGCTTGGTAACTGCAGACTAAGCCCTGTGCCTCTGTCTCCTCACATTTTATATTCCTGTCTAGTACTGGGATTAAAGGCCTGGACTCTCTCGTGCTGAGATTAAAGGTGTGAGCTACTACACCACCTGGATCTGTTTCTGCATTTATCTTGTGTAGGCCGCCGGGGTGGCCTTGAATTCCCGGAGACCCATCTGTTTTTGTCACTCAAATCCTGGGAGTAAAGACGTGTGACATCATTGCATGGCCTCTAGCAGCTTAGTTTTACCTTCTGATCTTCAGTCAAGCTTTACTGATTAAAACATAAAACATCAATATCAGTACAGCAGAGGATATACATCCCAGTCAGCTACACCATCACAAGAGAACCAGTCACCCCTTAAAGTGGACTAACAAATGTTATTTCTTTGTCCTGCTATGTAAACTCTGGTGTTCATCTGGGAGGGATGTGAAATGCATTTTCACACAACTTATGATAGGTTTTGGAGGTCCTGGTCTCAGCATAATACGAAGTGCTCTTAACTATGCTCTTGCCCCACCAGGGCTTCATGTGCACTTTAGGGAACCAAAAGGTAACAATATGAATCTGAACACATACTAAAATTACAAAGCAACTGGTGAAGGGAAGATGTCTATGCAACGGGTCCAAAGCTAAGCAAATCATCTATAGTTAACTAAAATAGTACCACACTCATTCCGGGTACGGAGCCATTTGCAGACATCCCCCACTTGCGGTGGGTAAGTGATACAGGAAGCATCTGTTTTCATTGGGTCCATTTTCAGAGCATCGTTTGCAAAGACCTATATTGGTTTCCTGTTTGTCATAAGCCCAGGCCTGATTTGTGCTTGTGTTCTGATTTTTCTCATCATAATATTCTCCCCCAAATACTTTGCTTTATAGTTTTATGTGCAATCGATCTTCATACAGAGATTTACGTCCAAATAGATGCCACAAGCTAGGAAACGCTAAATTAATCCCATTACTCTCTTTTGTGGGAAAGAAAAGCTTCTTGTTGACTGAGTACCAGCCTAACTGGCTGCTCACTGACTGGGTTAATATGTTCCAGAATGCTATTCCTGGGTGTTTGGACTCTTCATTAAAACATTAATTCCCAGGATATCCTAGAAACTAGCCATGATCCAGGAAGTATAAGAATAAATTGCATATTCTCACCTAGCAACCATACAATGGTTAATATTTTTATTACCAAGCTATTGAGATTACAATGAAACTTGTTCTTAATGCTAACACAAATGAAACCAGCTAATAACATGAACAAAAGCAAGAAGCGAACAGAAAACAGAGCCTCAAGCAAAATACGGGAGAGTCAGGTGAGTGAAGAGACTGGGGTAATTGGCTTACAGATAAATAGCTAAGTACTTACATTTTTAAGCCTGGTAGACCCCAATTGGACCTATTCTGCCTTCATAGAGAGATGACTCTGCAAAGGACATGAGTTCAGTTCCCAGCACCCACAGCAGGTGCCTCACAGTGACCTTTAACTTCCTTCCCAGGGGAATCTGACATCACGGACTCTAAAGACATCTGCACACACATGCTGTGTGCTTGTGCATACATGACACACATACTTTAAAAATTGAAGATTGCTGGGCAGTGGTGAGGCACTCGGGAGGCAGAGGCAGGTGATTCTCTGGGTTCAAGACCAGCCTGGTCTATAGAGCAAGTGCCAGGACAGCCAGGTCCTAAACAGAGAAACTCTGTCTCAAAAACACAAAAAACTAAAAGTAAAAAAAATTAAATGTTTTAAAAAAACCAAATGGATGAATAAATAAATGACAGAACTAAACCCCTACAGTAGCCAGGTTCCAGTTTCTATCCAGAGAACTACCACCCAGGAGAACAGCCACCCAGGAAGATATGTGGTTTCCTTGCCCCACTGGCTTTTCTATTGCTCTTCCTAGCTCTGTCAGCCCTGGCCTCTCCAGTTCGTATCTAATAAGCCCCAGCTGTTTCCCTCCGTCATCTCCTAGGGAGCAAGTCCTTGGAGCTAAGGCCAGGAACCAACCCTGCATTTGACAGTATCTGACTTGGCAGGGTCTAAGGGACAGGGTTTGAACATCCTGTATGTGCCTGATAGCTTGTGTGCCATTTCCAGAAAGGGCACCTTTGCAGTATTTCCAGGAGTCATGGGGTTTGATGCCCTGTGACCAAGAGCGTGTCACCTCTTGAAGCATAATGCTGGCATTGGGTAGACCCATGGAGCTAATCTCTCTCAATCTCTCTCTCTCCCCCATTTCTCTCTCCACCACACACACACACACACACACACACACACACACACACGGTAAAGTCTTGTGTCTACTCTGCTACAAGAAAGGAGTCTAAAGGATAACAGTCAACAGGCAACAGGATATTTCCTGTCTAGTCAGGACACGGGTTCTGTGGTGAGAAGACAAGCTGTGGAGTCTGAGTTCAGCTCTGCCTCTTATGAGGTAAAGTGAGGCTGACATTCTTATTGAAAGGATTCTTCAGCTATTCAGTCAGTGCCTGTCACCACCAGCCACTATTCCCACGCTGGGAAAACGTCAGTGGACAAAAGAGACCAAGTTCTGAGCTCCTGAGAACCTTACATTCTAGACGACAGTTTAGTGAGTATGCATTAAAAGTTGACAAGAACTATAGAAACTCTTTAAGGGAGAATAAGGAAAGACAATCCAGAAAACCAGGACTGTGGACACTGTGCCACTTAGAGGAATGAGCACTCTGGATGGATCTCACTGAGAATGTGAGACTGGAGAAAAGGCATGAGGGATATGAAGAAGCAGCCAGGAGGTTATTCAAAATGACCAGAGGAGAGTGTTGTAGACAGAGAGCTATCTAGGCAGGGGCAACAAGGGGAACAGGCAGGAGAGGACTGACCAAGGGCTTAAAAGAGGCAGCAGAGGGCAATGAGGAGGCCACTGGCAGGATCAAGAGCCTCCCTCTTGCCTCTCACTTCCTCTTCTGCGAAGAACTGAGAAGCTGGTGGTGGGTGAAGGGTTTCTGTAACACACAGTGAGGCTTCCATAAATGTGAAATGTTTTCTTTCATGTCTTTACCCAGAAGTCATAATCAGTTCAAATGAGCCCCAAATTTAGACTAAATAACATAGTGAAGCATTCAAACATTGCTTAGTAACATGTTTAAAGCTTTCTTCAACGAACATGGAGTGGAAGGGACTCTTGAGTGCACACTTAGATGCCAAAGATTAACCCCGTGTGTTGTTTCTCCAGAGCCATCCTCTTTGTTTTTGGAGACCGGGTCTCCCATTGGGACCTAGACCTCACCCATTAGCTAGCGAATGAGCCCCAGCGCTCTTCCTGTCTCTGCGGCTCCAGTTGCAGCATTGCAGGCACACAGCCCCATAGCCAGCTTTTTCCATGGGTGCTGCATACTGAGTTCAAGTCCTCATGCTATGCAGCAACACCAACGAAGCTTATCCCTCAGCCACAACCAATTTGAGCTTTTTCCGTACTCTACACTCTCAACTCTAACTGAGAGTCAAAATTCAAGGCCACGTTGATTCCCTTCCCCCTCCACGTGCCATGGATGGAGATAGGACAGCCTAGTGAACCAAGATCAAAGAGGGAATCCATGGAGAAACCCTGGTTCACAAGGCACTCAGCTGACCCATTCCCCTTTTATGCCCTCACCTTCCAACCTCCAGGGAAGCCCATAGGTCTTGCAGCACAGGGTTCTGTTGAGGAACATTATTTTCAGGTGTGTTACTTTTGCTTCTATTGCATTTGATTAACTGTGAAGCTGTGAGTCTTGGCCTGTCTAAAATACCTGATGGTCTAATAAAGAACTGAATGGCCAATAGGAAGGCAGGAGCAAGGACAGGCAAGACTAGCGGGCAAAAAGTATAAGAGAATGAGAAATCTGGAAGGAGAGAGAGCAAGGAGCAAGCAAGAGAACAAGGAGAGGAAGACACCAGTGGGCAGCCACCCAGCTACACAGCAAGCCACAGAGAAAGAAGTAAAGGAAGGTGTACAGAAATAGAGGAATATAAAAGTCCAGAGGCAAAAGGTGATCAGGATAATGTAAGTTAGGAAAAGCTGGCAAGAAACAAGCCAAGCTAAGGCTGGGCATTCTTAAGTATTTGGGAGCTGGGTTGTGAGCCCCTCAAAAAAGTCAAAAGAGAGAAAACAACATACAACAGTTTTCGTCAATGTGGGCCTTCATCCTGGAGGGCTGTGGTGTGCCCAAGAACTTCCTACTTACTCCCTTGAGGAGGGAAGCAAGGATGAGCCAGAACATTCTTGAGAACAATGATGTCACACTGAAAAGAGGAAGAGAGCGGATGAGAAGCATCCCTGACAGAGCAATGCGTGGCATCTGGAGTGCTACTGCCCTGCACTCTGCATGGGGAAAAGGAAGTTGTTGCAGCCCACCAACTCTTTTATTTTATGATTTGGCAGCTGAAGACAAAAGTGAGTCCCGTCTTCACACCATGGAAAGTGTGCAGGTAATTCTTGAAGGAGCCTATGGAAGAGTGGAAAAACTCACAATTTCTCTGGAAAGTATCTTCACACAACTCATATCCCTAGAGAGTCCAACACAGAACACAGGGAAGTGTTGTGAACTCTTTCCCAGAAGCACAGTGGGCTAGGGTTTCCTTTCTAGCTGAATCTGGGGACAAAGTGAAGCCCTAAATATAGCCTTCAAGGGAAAGGAAGGCCATGGAAGGAGGAAGAGACAGGAGGCTGTTGTCTCTCAGGGAACCTGCTGTGTCTGTCTGGAAGTAAGTTTGAACTGTTTTCCTTCCCTTTAGAAGAAGTAACTTCTTGTCCCTCTCCACTGAAAGTGGGTGACAGCTAAGAACATAAGTCCCCTGCCCGGAAGTTTCTACCCCAGGGAAGCTCCACCCCTTGTTTCTCTTTGTGGTTTATACTGTTGTTTTGTTTTCTTACTTTGGCTTTATATAATCTATCGTACGATATTTTTAGCCCATAGACTTCCGTCAGTCTACCATACTGTAGAGCCCAAGAACTGAATCTTTCAATTTGACCATGTTTTGGTATCTATTATCTGACTTTCTCTGTCACTAACACTGGTCATAAAGAACTCTGGTCATAAAGAACACTATTCTTTACTTCTACAAAACCGAACTTTTAGCTCCCACAAATGAGGAAAGTTATCATGCATTGCCTTTTTATGCCTAATTGATTTCACTTACTATAATACCACCTGATTCCATCCATGCTGCTAAAGGAAGTTTATCCTTCTTCGTGGATGAATAATATTTTACTGTATAAATGCACCATAGTTTCTTTGTCCCCTTATGCCTCCGTAATTGTTTCCATATCATTGGCTGTCGTGAGCAATGCTATAACAAACATGGAGGTGCCAATATGTTTTTGACAAATTGATTTTGGTTATCTGTTATTTACGAAGATGGGGATTAGGGAGAATTGGCACCCTGATTTCAACACATTTTTAAGACCGAGGGAAAATACAGCTGACAAGAGAAAGCAAGCTGTACACTTGGGAGAGGCACTGTCTCCCACTGACTGTCCTAAGGGGCGAGCATCAGGAGACCAACACGGGTCCATGGAAGATGAGAATTTTACTGATGAGGCCCATAAGATCCAGCTAAGGAGGGGCCGTTGAGGACAAGTGAAAAACAACTTACATAAGCCGGGCGGGGCCGGACTGAGCACAGTGCCGAAAGCTGGAGGAGCATGAGAATTCCCCATCTCAGAAATCAGCCATTAGGAAACTCAGGGTCACTGGAGGTTTCACGTGCCGTGCTGATGTTGATGGGGAAATAACAGCTCTACGGCTCTCTCAGCTTCACATCACACGCAGGGCCAATGGCACGCACCCCGTTCATCGGCAGTATCCAGGCAGCCAGGATCCCACTGAGGAGGTCTCCGCAGGGAACGCTCTTCTGGAGTGGGTCAGATCGCAGGGGAAGCTACCAAGCTAGCAATAGGGGAGAGGCACCAGATCATGGGGAGCTGTGCATATGAAAGTAATGTCAGGCCCCGGAGGGGAGCCTGGAAGAAAAAAATCACTCGGGAAACTCACATATGGCAAGCACAGGCTGCACTGTTTGGCACCTCACACTCTTCTTCTTTCATTTTGCATGTCCAGGTTCTGGATCTCATGCTGGAGAGCTGGGGTAGGTGGGAAGAGATGGACAGGAAGGATGGGGAGCTCGGCCTCTGAGGTCATTGCCTCCAGCTCATGTAATGTCTACAGGCCACCAACAGACATTCACAGCCACCCCTTGCCCTCTCCTCCAGCTCCTCTGATTTCCACCCACCCCACAAAGGAGGGACTAACACCCCCCTTCCAGCATGTACTGAGTTACCCTCTGCCATCTCCATCAGTTTGCCGTGGCTTGGTTTCAAAAAGTAAGCCAAAGCCAAAGCAAAACAGAAGGGGACAAAACAAACAGTAAATGGATCTCTGTGATGTTAGCCATGAGCTTGTGTTTCCCGTGATGCTTCCCTTCAAAGGGTACACACTGGGGTCAGAAGTTAGGCTGCTGCTATAGAAAGGATATAGCATGTAAAATATCTTTGCTTCTCTTCCAGTGTTCTTGGCAGTAGAAGTCACCAGTAACTATTTTAGTAAATAGTTACCATTCTATGATTACATGGTTATATTGATGACGATCAGAGTTGTAGCTCAGGAACTTTCAATGCCTCCAACCAGCACCCCTCCACCCAGCACCCCTCTGCCCAGCACCCCTCTGCCCATCTCCCATGATGGTATGGAAGATTGTGTCCTATACCATGTTTTTGAAGAAACCGTGGAAAAAGCCATTTGGAAAGAACCCATCACCCACCAGTTATAGCTCTACTCAGCGCTTGCCTTCTACTCAAGTCTCAGCCAAATTCCCAACCTCTGCACCTCCAAGCACAATCTACACTACTGTTTTACTAACTATGCAATTGGCTGAATGTCAGGGAACTAAGAGGGGGCTACAGTCAGCAGGAAGTCCCACTGGAAGAGGTGGGAAGCAGTGCTGGCCAGAACAGCATCTATTAGGGCAGGCAGCAGGCCTGGTCTGGCCACAGATGCAGTGAGCATTTGGTGAAAGCTGGATACTAATGCTTTGTGGAGGTCAATGCTCTCAAGGAGATCTGCTCCAGGCCCTTGCGAGCTGAATTCCTGCCGGGGCTGAACTTGTTTGTCTCTTAGTGGGAAAATCATTGGCACCTATTAAAGCAAAGGTTAGGCTGGGAGACATTCCCAACTCGACTTTTGAAATACATTCTTAGGGTATTAAAGACCAGACCCCCAGGCCTTGGCTTCTCTGCTTCCCAATCAACCTGACGCCGCTTTCACAATGTCAGAGGTACAGATGTGATACCTCCAGCACAGAGGAGCCGGCTCTTACTAGCTCTCCGGATCTCCCCACTATGTATATGAGCGGCAAGGATTGTTCCCCTGATATCTTTAGTCTTTCACAAAAACATGATGTTGTGCTATGTACCACAATATTCCAGAATAATTTGGCTCAACATCACAGAGTGTTGGCAGTATTTAACAGCCTTGTAAAAATATATTGGCAAGGATTGTTGGCTATGTGATTATTTTTTTTAAAGCATGGTGTTTGGGCTACAGTTAAGCGTGTGTATCACTTATTTAAAGTCCATGCTATTAATTAATAAGCGCCTGATTTAATCTTGCCTGTCAGCTATTTCCAGACTAAGAGTTTCCTTTATTCTCAAACAAAAAGCTCTCCAAGTGGCAAAACAAACTTGGCTATGAACCTGAGCACACTGGCTATTAACAGTCAACCTTCACCATGTCTCTGCTCATCCCACACTCAGGGTAGGCACATTCAACCCATCACCGGGATTTGCCTAACTCTCTAAGGACTCCTTTCTGCTGGGCCAGTCAATCTCTCAGGGGACTGAAACATCATCAGTGGAAACATCACCAAAGAAAGAGTGAGTGTTTGTCACTCAGACTCTCCTGATCCTCTTGAGAGCCCCAAGATCATCTTGAACTCCATCCTGTACCATGAACTGTGTCTCTCTACGTTGTCATTCACCCCCTAGTCTGGCGCCAACTGAAGTGTCTAGGCCAGTCGGGGAGGGGTTTACACAGGTGTCCGTGCACAGCTCATAACTAGCTTTGAGTTTTTAACCCATGGCAATTTTCTCTCTGGGTAAGTTTAAAACCTAGGGTCATGTGTTGCATGATTTCTAATCGGTCTTAATAATAATAATAATAAACAAGTCAGAAAGATCAGAGAAGCAGAGCAGCCAGCTACTAGCTCTTACCTCTACCAAATCCTCAGACGGAATGGGCAATCCTGTCTCTAGGAATCTTCAGACTGGATGCTGTGAGCTCCTGTCTTCTCCTGCTGGTGTGGGAGAATTGTCTGTATTCTGTCAATCATGTATTTTAATAAAACGCTGATTGGCCAGGCAGGAAGTATAGGCAGGTCAACCAGACAGGAAGTAGAGGCAGGCAATGAGAATAGGAAAAGGCTAGGGAGGAGGAAGCTCCCCTGCCACTCCTGCACAGACCACCGAAGAGGCAGCATGTAACTTGCCAGCTGAGAAAGGTACGAGCTGTATGGCTAATATAGATCAGAATAATGGGTTAAGATAAGTGGCGCACACGGGTAGGATTTGCCGAAAGAGGCAGCATGTAACTTGCCCAGCTGAGAAAGGTACAGAGCCATGTGCTAACATAGATAATGATAATGGATTAATATAAGTTATAAGAACTAATAAGTAGACTGACCTAATGGGCCAATCAGCTTTATAATCTTATGGAGTCCTGTGTGTGATTTCTCTTTGGGATTTGCCGGCTGTAGGGTACCGGGCAGGACAGAAACCCCAACAAGCCGGCCCCCTCATACTACATCCTGCCTTATATTCCTCTCTCCATTCCGCTACATCCCTTCCTGTCTCCACCTCCCTAGTACTAGAATTAAAGGCATGTGGCTCCCAAGTACTAGGATTAGAGGTGTGAGCAACCACCACCTGTCTCGTATTCTCTTTTAGACTGGACAGATCTTGAGTAGCCCAGGGTGACCTTGTACTCACAGAGAATAATCTGCCTCTGCTTCCCAAATGCTGGGATTAAAGATGTGTGCCACCACTGCCTGGCCTCTATGGCTAACTAGTGTCTCTCTTCACACTCTGATGCCAGGAAAGCTTTATTTGTTAGAGCACAAACAAAATATCAGCACAGCCATGTAAGTCTTAGCTGGGAATGGACTGCTTTCAGCCAACAGATCCCTTCCTGCTACAGAATTTAGAGTAATTTCTATACCCTATTAGGCTAAGAGGTACCCATCATTTATTTTCATGGGATACTTTAGACAGTAAGAAGGCAGGGTGAGCCACTGCCTGGCACTGTGTTTATATAATCAACTTGTCCTTGAGTCTCTTAGACTCGAGTCGAAACTCTTAGAAGAGAAGACAAAGCCCTCTTGAGGGGGTTTCCAGGGCATACGCTCAGGGAGTTGGTTAGGTCAATAGGTGTTCAGGGTGACTGAAAGCTATCATAAAAATCCACTTACCTTTTATCCTTTCCCCCTAAAGAGCACACTCCTGAATGGACCCCATCAATCTCAACTTTTACAGAGCCTCTCCCCGGCTGTCATAGGAATGTCGGGAGTGTCCAGACTTTGCAGAGGAGGAGGGCATGGGTATTTCAAACCTAGCTGGAATGCAAATGATTGCTTAGGGTGCAGAAGTAGAAGTCGTCGGGTCATTACATTAAAAAGGAGCAATCAGAAATAGTGAGCAAGTGTGTTTAGTTTTAGCCAGGGTCACAAATGGCAGGCACAAAATAGCAATGTATGACTCAGATAAGGTGCCCTCCATGGTTTGGAGGAAAAAAAGAAGACATTTAGAAATCTAAACACACAATCAGAGATAAAATTTACGTTCCAAGTTTTTCACTGCAATATTGTTTAAAATAGGAAACAAATTTAAAATTCTGTCAGTAATTTCTATCTGAAATTATAAGACATCACCAATAACCAATAGTTAATAGCCAGAGTATATAAGAAACATAAAAACAGAATGCCAATAATAACAATCTTGGTGTTTTTACTCTTAAGAACGAAATATATACTTCTCTCAAGTCCCACAAGCAGTGAAGTATGTGAAATAAATTGTTCAGTCTCACTAACCATTAGGGAAATGCAAACCAAAACTGCAATGGCTTCTCCCACCCTGAAAGGCTATCCTGAAAAAACCAAAAATAACAAGTGTTGCCAAGGCTGCAGAAAAGATAGAACTCTTCCACGCTACTGCTGAGAGTGCAAATTACTAGAGTCTTAATGACAGCACTAAGGAGGTTCCTAAAATAATTAAAAATAGATCCACCACGTGATCCTGTAAGTCTGCTGCTGGGTATATATCCAAAGGAAACAGAGCTTGTAACAGGACAGGCACTTCACTCCCATGTTTATTGAAGCCCTATTCACTAAAATGCAAACTCAGTCAATTTGTCCATCAGCGAATGAATTGATGCATGAGTGTGTGTGTGTGTGTGTGTGTGTGTGTGTGTGTATGTGTGTGTGCGTGTGCGTGCGCACTCACATAAAGGAGTATTGTTCAGGTACATAAAAGGATGATGCCCTGTTATTTCCCACAACAGGAATGGAAACAGAGTTCATTGCATTAAGTGAAGTAAAAGAGACACAGAAAGACAAATACCATGTGTTTTTACTCATTAGTGAAAACTAGAAAGTCAATCCCACAAAGAGACAAATGAAAAAGTGGTCAGTGGAAAGGGGGAGGGTGGAGAGGGGTGAGGGAGCAGTTCAATAAGGAGCACTAAAATACAGTGAGAGAGGAAGAATTAGTCCTAATTCCTCTAGAGTGAAGCAGGAGAGCTACTTATTTGAACTATGTATTTTATATTTCAAAAATGACTAGAAAAACATGCCAGCACAAAAAATAATTAACATTGAAGAAATAGACATGTTTGTGACCGATTTCATTATTACATATTATACACATGTGTAATATTACTACAAACTATCCTGTAGTGATATACAATTGTTGCCACTAATTGTTTTAATTAGTCAGAATACTGAGCAGCCATTGGAAAGGATGTTGAGGGGCAGGGGAAGGGAGAATAGAACACAGAATGTGAGAATAGAAGAAATACAAATGGTGGCCATCTGAAATGTAGGTAGACGCAGGGAGATGTGGAGAGGAGAAGGGGGGAGTACCATAGAGGGTAGAAAAGTTTTAACCAGGTCTCGGAACAGATGGGTGGGGGATGGAGTGTTAACCCGAACTGGGGGTGTTTGAAAAGCCTTATGGAAACCACTAATGTGTAAGTTAATTCTCAAAGTGTAATTTAAAAGAAGGAGTTAGAATGAAGGTACATGCATGGACAGATAATGCTCCTATGAGACGACATGTTATTAAATAAAAATTCTAGGGCGAGGCACGGGTTATTCCCATATGACTTATTGGTTCGAGTGTTCGAAGGAGCCCCCCCCCCCCACAAACAATATACCTTATTGCCATTGCATTTGGTTTCCCAAAACCACTGAAGATCACTGTGTTTTCATTATAGGACATAGAGAAATTAAGCTGGGACTTACCTAGAAATTTCTTCACTACCGCCAAGCTTTCATGGAGCTGGGAAGCACTGTACAGACCATTGGGAGAGAAAAGGTCCTAGTCTCACCCAGCACTACATGCTATATCTTGACCTGCCAGGAAAGATGTCCCTACTGACACATGGTTGTTATGTTCAGGCGCTCCTAGCAGTCATGGGTGTCTGCAGAAGATTTGCACGAGATCAAGCCCGTCAACATTCTAGCATGGATAAGGAGGGCCTCCTGAAGCCGTAGTCTTAGCTGAAGAGGGGAGGAGAGATATTTTCACTCAGGATGCAGCCAATGTTAAAGTGCCCGTAAGCAATAAATAACCCCACATCCATGAACTTACAAGCAAACTCAACTAAATCTAATGGGTTATATAAAAAAAGAATAGATGAATGGATGGATGGATGGATGGATGGATGGATGGATGAAAACCTTTTAGGAAGAAGCTTCCAGAGTGAGAAGTGGGTGGACAGGAAAGAGGAATGAGAGAGGATATGATTAAAATACACTATTAAATTTAAAATTACTGACACATATGTTAAATATCTCCCAGGAATTAGAAAGAGAGACAGAAACAGTAACTCCCCCCTTACAATTTTGGTGCATGATTCTGCTGGGGACTGATGATAAGGGATAAAAGGCCAGAAAGAGAAGCAGATACACTAATGGCTGGGGGATGGGTTCGAAGACCTACAAAGCAGTAAGGTAAGGGAAGAGTGGGCTGCAGACTGCTGGGCAGAGGATCACCCCCAGCCTGTGCAGGTCAACTCTTATGGGCTCTTGCTCTGGGCTCACACTAGCTATTTCATTTTTCCTCCTACCTAAGAGGTTTCAGCTGCATTCAAAATAGGTCAGTTCAGAAGGGCTCTGTTTCTCACGGGAAACAAGAAAGATTGAGTTTTCCCTGCTCAAACCCATCCACCTCTGAAGCAGAGGAGTCTACAGTGTTCATCTGAGAACACTGGGGGAACCTGGTTTAGCATAACCACGTGGAGAGGAAACCAAGAAAAATAAACAAACAAATCCCACCAACACTCCAGGCAAAGAAAGCCTCCCTTAGAGATGCCCTTTCCCCTATCCCGCCCCCATCAACACCTGAGGCAAATGGGAAAGATGGCTCTGGTCACAAGAACAGGAGAGCTGGCCCTGCCCTTTGTCAGCTACAGCACTCAGGGGAGTGGCCTCTAGCCACACCTGAGCACCACAGTAGGCCCTGAAGGTATAGGTGTGGAGATCTGGCCCAGAGGGCTTGAAAGTAGGAGAACTGGTCCTGCCTCTTGCTCTTGGGGCAAAGGGTGAACTCACCAGGGCAATGCAGGAAAGCTCATCCTGGTTAGGTTAGGACAAGGGAGAGCTGGCAGGCTGACCAACCCAGCAACTACCCAGGCCCAGAATCAGGCCCACCCCAGCATCCACCCCATCTGTGATCTGCTGGAGCACAGGAAGGGAATAGCCCTACAGACCCAAAACTGCAAGATCTCTCCACAACACAGAGCAACATCAGGATAACCACAGAGAGTTCTAGTGAAGACCTAGCATCGATCGTGTAGCAGAAACCAGAGACCTCAACAGACCAGTGATTCTCGGCAATGAACGTTTGCAAGTAAAAATATATGGTTTACTGTGTGACTCAATGTGTTACACTACAGCCTCCCGGACAAGAATGAGCTCCTTCTCTCTCTCTCTCTTTTTCTTTTTTTTCTTAAATTTTATTTTATTTTATTTGGTGGGGAGGTTGCAAGGGCAGAGGGTGTACACAAAGGAGTGAGGAAGTGAATAGGATGGAGATCCATTATGTGAAAGACACAAAGAATAAATAAAAAAAGGGAGAAAGGAAGAAAGGAAAGAAGGAAGGAAGGAAGGAAGGAAGGAAGGAAGGAAGGAAGGAAGGCTCTTTACTGATGTCTGCCTTCTATTACTACCGTCTCTTTCTGCCCCCTACATGAACGTCTTAGGTAACACTTGGGTAAAAATTTTTTTGCTTAAAGGACTTGGCATAGCAGGGTACCTGGGGAAAAGATCCCAGAAAGCCTGGGTAGGATAACAACTTTGAGTTTGTATTATTGGTCAAAGTCAGAGACCATTTCCTACCTCCACTTGCACGAATCGACAGCTGAAGGAAGTCATTGCTTGGTGACTGGTATTGCTGTTGTTGCCACTTATGTCACAGCTGGAAGAAATGGGATGTCTTAGTCACTTTTCTCATTGCCACGACAAAATACCTGATGGAAAGATAGTAAATTAAAGGAGGAAGGGTTCACTGGGGCCCATGGCTTCAGGCTAATTCTATCACTGAGAATAGATAGGGCCAGCTGAAGGTGGCTGCACACTCACATCTAGGCAGATCAAGATGCAGATGGGGTGGGGGGCAAATGCTGGTGCTCAGCCAACATCGTGCTTTTTCCATATTATTCATCTTGTGAGTTCAGTTTGAGGTTTAGCACGGGCTGTAATTTTTTAGGTCTTCCTCCATCTCCATTATGGAAGTATAAGGACATGGAAAATTTTAAGGAACTTTTTGCTTGCTTAGGAGCTAATTAGGGCACTGGGTTCAAATGCAAGATGTCTAGGGCTGGTTTAAAACAGGATGTCCAAATAGGACGCCGAGCTCAAAGTGCAGATCACAAAGTGTTCCTGGCAGTGGGCCACCTCTTAACACCTAGTTATGTGGTCTATCAGAGAGCAGGAGAATCCACCGCTTGGGGGGGGGTGCTATTAGAGACAACCACTGTGGGGAGGGAGCATGTTAGAGGTAAGGCATGCCTGCTGTTATGTAAGACCAACTAACTCTCTTGACCCAAAATGAACCTAGCTTGCAGTTTTTGCCCCTACAATGTCAACTGCAAATGATGAGGAAGGAGGCTCTTCCCTACTGTACTGCATCGTGAGTAGTGGTAGAGTCCCCAAGACTAGCTGGAGAGCACTCTGAAAAAACCTTGCTTTTGCATTCTGGACTTTGTTGGGTTCCTAGAGGACAGGCCTTCACACCCCCACTTGATCTGTTTTGCACTCTTGTGGTTGGTTGAAAACAGGAACAATCTGTTGTTTTCAGCAATGTTTCTAAGGATGTTTACCCCTAAGCCACTGAGTTACAGTGATGAGCTTCCTGCTTTTGCTGGCTTGGCCTCCCCTGCTGAGGGCTATATATACTGTGTGAGAAAGTGGAATAAAGGTTTGTCTGCAGAACCTGAAGTTGTGTTGTGTGATAATCCCGATGTCCCTTGCTCAGAAGAATGACAGTTGCCACTCTGGTGCGGCAGACTTGACTGGATTCTGGTGATGTCTCTCTGGGGGGGTCCCCATTTGAGCACAACAGAAGCACATTCACAGGAAAACCCAATGTTTGGCCTCCTTCAAGACCTAAGTATTTCTTTCTCTCTCTCTGTTGTTTTTTGTTTTGGTTTGGCTTTGGGTATTCAAGGCAGGATTTCACTGTCCTAGAACTCAATTTATAGACCAGGCTGGCCTTAAACTTACAGAGATCTGCCAGCCTCTACCTCCAGAGGGCTGAGATCAACAGTCACCACCTCCCAGCTCCTAAGTATTTCTTAATCTAGTCAAAGTGACAATTAAAATTAGCCATTATGTATGGAGACATGGGATAGAAAATGGAGAATAAGGGTCTAAGATTGACTGGCCAAAGCTGAAAGATAGAGAGCAGTGTATTAGTCGTGAAAGTGCCCCCTCGCTGGACGCATGCTGCAGGGGACTCGCCACACATGATGTCATAGATGGCTCAGTCTTTCTTTCTGATCAAAGCCCTGTACTTTAACTGTTGCCCTTTGAAATTTCAAGACTCACACAGTTATACTTAAAGCTGAATTATAACAACCCCTCTTCAACCTCTTGAACATATTCTCCTGAGCTTTTTGTTTTGTTTTGGTTTTTTTTTTTACCTCCTATGCACTATTAACTATTGTGTATAATTTCCTGACTCTTGGAAATGTTTTTACTTAACATGCATGGTGCCTGTAATCAATTGGTCAAAACCCTATTTGATTGGAGGTTTGTGTTTCAACACAATGCTGTTTGTATATCAACAAATGCATCAAATGTCATTTAAAAGGGGGGAACTATAAGGACAGCTAGCTATTGTGTGATGGACTTTTCCTGGGTAGAGAAAACACACCTGACTACTCACCCCATAAAGGAAACCAATGACCAATCAAATTAACCATTACACCAAAGTGCAACCTGGGAAACCAATGAGTGTTTACTGGAGTTACTAGTGGGTCTGTATGGACTAAGGGTTGCTTACGGAAGCAGTCATGGGAAAAAACAAACAGCTGTATCATTGAAAAGCCCATCTCTACCACATGGATGATCGCTCATGAAAGATGCAGTCCTGGAGCACAGGTTACAGGCCTGAGAGCTCCCCAGCTCAGTCTGCCTCCCCTTCTCCCCCAGCAGGTGTTTACTACTTTTATGAAGCTACTGAGAAGCCTTCTAGAATCTTCCAAGTTTCCTCTTTCCTGATAGGAGACTTTTTGTTTGCCTCATGAGTCCTGGAGAGACTGTTTCAATTTGGAGGCAATGGCTATACCACACTACTGTCTCAGCCTTCCAGTGGCAAGTTGGGGAAAGCTGTGTTCTTAGGTATTTGGATTTTAAATGTTTAAAAGATAATGGTGCTTACCAAAATGAGGCAAGTCAGCACACAAGCACACAAACGTACAGGAGACTATTTTCTTTTTCATATATCAGTAACCCTTGGTGAACCATACCACATTCCTCTTACTAACCCACCATCTGCCAGTTACATGGCGAAAAAATGGTGGGAAAGTTGTCAGGTGATAGAGAAGGTAGAATTTCTACTCCTATACTCGTAGGAGGTCAGCAGCTAAAGAAAAGTGAGGAGTGGGGGATACGGAGCAGTTTCAAAGGAAAAATTAATTTTCAAATCTGAGTCAAAGCAAAGCCGAGCAGCAGCTGTGGAGGGAGTTGAACCTCCTCCTTGGCTTGTATCTCTTAAACTTCCCTGTGCTTTCACTTAGCCCAGACATCATCCCGTTTATACCAACTAGTAAAACTGAATTAATTAAGAAACAAGGGACTCCAGACGGTTCATCTAGGGATTGTCGGTACACCGCATTGAATGAGAAGGGAAAACAACTTTCCTCTACAGAGAGACCAACCAGGCTTCCTGCTCCAGTTGTAAGTGCCTGTGAGGCTGCCCTATTGATCGATATGTCCCAGAATCGAGTAGATTAAAATACATATTTATTTTTACATCATTTACTTTTACAACAAATGCCCGTGGCTGCGTATCTCTATGAGCTGGAAACTGGACAGACAACCTTCCCTGATGGGTGAGTGCTTTGAGAGATTCTGTGCCCTAGAGTCAGAGAACATCAAGATACAAAGTCAAGGGGCAAGCCAGATGGCTTCCCCAGACTTCTATGCTGTCGTCTGTGAGGCCCTTCACGTGAAGAATGGAGGAACAAAACGGCTCCCGTTGTGCGGCCACAGAGCAAGGGTGAAAAGCTGCAGCCATGGAACAGCCCAGCTGTGGAAGGGGTGCTTTTCTTGTCTCTTCTTTTTTTTTTTTTCCTTTACATATTTTACCTTTTAAGTTAAAAGGAGTTATATATGTCATTTCCCCCTTCCCTTTCATCCTCCTAGCTCCTCCCATGTGCCCTCCCTTGTATGTCCTCTCAAAAATATGGGCTCCTTTTCTTTAGTATACACACACACACACACACACACACACATACACACACACACATACACATATACACACACACACACACACACACACACACACCCTGCTCAGCCTGCTCAGTTCATTTGATTTCAGGGCTGACCCACTTGGTGCTGGATAACCTCAGACCTTGGTTATTAACAACATCTCTCTAATTGGTACTTTTCCTGATTCTATTGTCCAATCCCAGGAGATATATGAGCAAAAAAATCAGGATGCTATGTCCCTCCCATCCCTGCTGACTTGTTTTATGTTAAACATGGTCTGTTTATGTTAAACATAAACATGGAAGTTATGTTAAACATAAACTTCCAAAACTTATGACTTAACAACAGCGGTGCCCGGCTACTCCTTCTGTATGTAGGTAACCATACTCTGCGTGCCCGGCTTTCTCTTGAATGACCTCTATTCAAGGTGTTTCAATTTTGTGAAACTCTTACGAGCCTCTTGCTTGAAATCTGCTCTTGTATATTCTTCTCTGCGTGTGTCTAAGCATCACAAGAAAAAGCAAGTTCTAGCAAGCAGGCAAGAGAAGTTGGTTGGGATATCCTGTGGAAAGGAGCTGATGTCAGAAAAAAAGGAGCAGGATCGCTAGCTAACACGGCCAGTGATCATCCGAGCACCTGCTGGAGACACGGGGCCTGGCCTGGATAGCTACAACTGTTGGCCAAAGTCTAATCCAGAGTTTTCCAGAGCCAGCAGCTTCTAATCAGGCGCACACCAGGAGCCTGCTCCTTTCTCACCGACAAGCCCCCACTCTTCGGCCTGCGTCAGGGTGTCAGGCTGAGGAGCTCCCTGGAGTCAGAGCAAGCCAGGAAAGAATTCAGATCATGGGGATTGGCTCTGGTTAAGAATCTAGAAGAGAGGGAATTCTTTCTTTCTTTCTTCCTTCCTTTCTTTCTTTCTTTCTTTCTTTCTTTTTTCTTTTCTTTTCTTTCTTTCCTTATTTTTCTTTATTTGTTTTGATTTTTGACATTGTAATATAACTATATCATTTTCCCCTTCTCTTTCCTCCCTCCAAACCTTCCCATGTATCCCTTGCTTTTTTTCAATTTATTACCTTTTTTATTACCTGTTGCTACATACATAAATGTACATTAAATACACCCGTTCAGTCTGTATGATATTATCTGTATGCATGTTTTTAGGGCTGACTGTTTGGTATCAGATAACCAAATGGCGTGCTCTTCCGTGGAGAAGACTGCAGTTCTTTGTGTAGGGTGGAGGCCACGTGGCCTTTCCCCTGTCCAACTTAGCACATCTCTTGTAACCGTCCTTCTTCAGTTCATGGTTAGGCCGTCGTGTTGGTGAGAGTTTTATGGGTGCAGCTTCTGATATTACCAGGAGACAATCTCACAGCAGCTCCCTCATCCTCTGTCTCTTACATTCTGCCCCTCTTCCCCAACGTCCACTGAGCCTTGGGTGTTGGAGTTGTTCTATATATGTGTGCATTGAAACTGGCTCCAGAAATCTGCATTCTCACTAGCGGTGGTTCTCTGTAACGGTGTTTG